AAATACAGTGAAAAATCCAACGACACTCGTCGAAACTTTCCGCCGTAGCTCGCTCCAGACAAATGTGTTTTCGTCCACACAAGCGGCGCAGTGTCAACAGCTGTAAAGTCCGCAAGGAACGTCTGGACCATGCCCATGTTTGCCAAGGGTGCGGTGGAAAACTCCACCCGTGTGGACGCACTAATTAAGGGGTGAGTTTTTCCATGGATTAGTGGTGGATTAGGTGTAGCTCGCGTGCCCTAGATCTTGATCCAGTGTTGAATCGAGGTAATCTACATCAATATTATAAAGGATACATGATTGTTTGTATCGAATAGGCTTCGAAACTACTGGACTGATTTGAAAAACTCTTTCACCATTAGAATCATACATTATTTTCTTAAAAACATAGGTGATACGAAATTCTCCGGGTTAGCTAGTGTATCTGTATTTTGTGATTCCTACACTTGCTGTAGTTGTAAGGAATGGGAAACATAGGTAAAAACTTTTCTGTAAAAAAAAGAATAAATAACAGTAACAATTTAGGTCGTTTGTTTAAGATAATTACCGAGATCTATCTTGCTAGAAGTAGAACTGAAACACGGTAATTAAAATACATTTGAATATAAGCGCAATAACAAAANGAGTCATCATCGTCATCATCATCATCATCATCATCATCAGTGAACAAGGAGCTGCACCAGTTCCTGGCCACGTGCGACCTACTCGCCTGCGTGTGGCAGCGGTGAGTCATCATCGTCATCATCGTCATCATCATCATCATCAGTGAACAAGGAGCTGCACCAGTTCCTGGCCACGTGCGACCTGCTCGCCTGCGTGTGGCAGCGGTGAGTCATCATCATCATCAAGTCATCATCAGTGAACAAGGAGCTGCACCAGTTCCTGGCCACGCGCGAGCAGCTGGCCTGCGTGTGGCAGCGGTGAGTCATCATCGTCATCATCATCATCATCAGTGAACAAGGAGCTGCACCAGTTCCTGGCCACGCGCGACCTGCTCGCCTGCGTGTGGCAGCGGTGAGTCATCATCGTCATCGTCACGTCATCATCAGTGAACAAGAGCTGCACCAGTTCCTGGCCACGCGCGACCTGCTCGCCTGCGTGTGGCAGCGGTGAGTCATCATCGTCATCANCAAATATTTAAACAATTGCAAAACAATATTTATTTATCTTTCGTACTACTGAAAAGACCAAATATTATATCCATCCCGCACCAACGCATCCAGCACCTAAGGTCAATTCGACCCGATAACGCAGTGTGAACGTGTTAAGTATGCTTTTTTAATAAAAAAAAAATCTTTGAACATCAAGTGCCTTTAAATAGTTTCCATCCTTTGACTACAACTTAATAAAAATAAGTACCATAACATAATTATTTTGAAGATTATTTGATATAGACAAAAAATAATTTATACAAATCGAATTATTTAAAAAAGTATCACAATATTGAATATTTGGTGCTCATTTCTTTTATTTTTGAGGACCAACAAGTAACGATCAGATATAATTTTTACATCTCAAATTTTTTTTGCGTAGTTCAAAAGAGGTTAAAATATCGATCGATTTTATTTATTTTATGTCTCAAAGAAAGAGGATCAATCATTAAAATAGACGACCAAATAGATTTTTTTATTTGCCTTTTTTGCTAATTTAAAAAGATCATTTAAATACATGCCATAACAAAATATCAAACTACTCCGAGTAACAACCATGTAGATTTGAAGAGCCAATGTTTGGTCGCCAGCTCATCAGCCTCTATATTTTTGTTGCAAAACAGCATCTATGACAGCGACACAAGAGCCACAGTGTTAGCCTTGATGTGCCGCCATCCATACACTTTATTTTTGCCTGACCGCACAAACGGTGAATTTATTCGCATTGTAATTACGCTAGAGAACTCTTAATTTGTTGTTGGTATTATTATCAGTGCGGAGAAGTGTTGTGTTCATACTACGAGTAGGTACACTTGATGATTTCAACAGGTTATCCAGTTTATCTATAACTCATTTGTCTAAATTTGAAGTCGCCTTGTAAACAAAAGATCGTGTCTCCTTCACTCTAAATGTTATAACAGCACGAGTTATTAATAGATGTTTGTTACGTATTATTATAGACGTTATAAAAAATAATGTGACAAGAATTGACAACGTAGGTCATCACCCCTTTTGTTTAGAAGCAGACCTCTCCCAAACAATCTGTGATTGATCTTGATTGGACGTGATTGTCCTTTATGTAGAACTGCATAAGGCACAAGCTTATCATGCCTATGACCTTCAAAACTTGTGTTGTCTATTCTAAGGTACATGGAATAGGCAATACCTAGTTCGTGATCACCCTTGTTACATAGAGTCACCCCCTATTTCTATGCCAGTCGCGCTTACCGCCGCGCGGAGTTCACACGCGTTCGAAAACTACGCCGAAGCGTTTTTCATTGTAGAAAAGACGTGAGGCGCTAAACCTTTTTTCGCTTACGGTTAGATAGACGATTCTTTTTCGATTCAATTGTGTTTATCGATAGATTTAATCGAAATTAGCCATTGTTTGACATAGGGGAAGTGAGAAAAGTGTGTGAATTTCTATGAGAAAATAACATTTTGGTTTTTCGCGCTGTTACTGTTAGTGATTGGTTTTGTGAATAATATTTCTCGGTGTCTGGTTATAATTAGTTATGGTAGTTGTTTGTTTAATATTGATCTAATTGGGTGTCTTGATAATTAATAAATTGATGTTACACGATTTCTTCGATTGATGTAATATTTTATTGGAAGGTAATTTATTTTTGGTGAGTCTGCTTAATCGATTCGTCTCTTTTGTTTAATTAATCAATTTCAAAGATTTGATCCTCAAATATTTTGAACACTCGTTCGTGAAAAACTCTTATTTGAATTTAAAGTTAGCAACTTTCTTTCTATTTTGGATGTTATTTCAAAGACGAGGTGTCTAAAACACAATGAATTTTGAAAGCTGTTTGCCATGCATCACAAACTGTTGCCCAAAGCGAGCGAGACGTAGTTAATTAAATAAACAATTAGCCATGGAGAGATTATGGAAAGTGCACCCGTGTATTATGTTAATATGTAACTGTATGTAGTGGCAAAACTATGAAGCTATGACTCGTTACTAGGAAGTATTGCTTTGTTTATATCTGGTTATTTTTTGGCTTATTTAACTCAACGAGGGCCAAGAGTTTTAGTGTCATATTATCTATGTAAATGATTAGAATTCTGTTAATTTCAATATACTTTGGTTATCAGGTGAATAAATTATCTCCAGACATTGTAAAACATCGTAAAAACTAAATCACTCGTCACCTGGTCTTGTAGAAATAAAATTAAAGCGCTGCTCTGTTTTGCTAATTTTCAATAATGTTTAGACTTTGCCAAAATATTAACAAGTGTACGTATTCATAAACTCAGTTTAGTTGTCATTCAACTTGAAGAAAATTAAAAAGAAATATCTGCAAAAAATCAATACATACCAGGCGTATCTATTAATAAAAAGAGGAGATGAGCTTCGACTGCAAGAATCTCATTTCCAGCGATCGCCATCTTGTGAAAATGTTTCAGTCGGGACGGATAAAAGAAATGATACCATACAATCATGATTGGACGAGCTAAAAGTAGCATAAACCTTGATTAAAATGTTCGTTACACTTTATCATGCATGAAAGGTATAAGAATAAGCAAAATTGCATGTTCACATTTTCCTGAATACAGACGTGCGCTTCTTTTCATTATAAGTGAGGCAAAGATTATTAGATTTTATCTCATTGTCAACAGCATATACGAAAGGAGATTTGCTATAACTTCCTAAGTTAAACCATTAATCTTTAATAAACAGACAAAGTGTTTTATAACATTAACCATAATGTTCAAACACCATGTACAGTCGTGCGACAATTCCTCAAAGTTTGATTATGGGCATAATTACCATCAGTGTTAGGTCTTAATTGGATCAAAGGCATAGGCATTGACCAGTATGGCATATGGAGCGGCGTCTATGGGTGCAGTGAGTGGCGTTATTGATCATGATGACGTTAACGATGACTTTGCTTTGTTTTTTAATATGGGAGATCGTATAAAGAGATCAGTATCTTCAGTCCTTTTAAACAAAGTAAAACAGATTGCAGAAATTATCAATAAACGGTTTCGGTAAAATATCTTACTCCTATTATAATAATTTATCATTATGCTTTTGTGACTTTCAATTTTGAAGTCAGTTTCGTGACTGATCTTTAGCAATTCATCGAGCATTCGAAATCGAATTCAGTGTCATCGAAATCGAATCATCAATAAAATTATTTTGGTCTGAATCGAATTTAGCATTAAACAAATAATTGAAAATCGATTATCGGTTTCAAGTTGATCGGAATCAGAATCGCCAGAAGCACACCCACCTGCGTCCATTACATTATCGTAAGACAGCGCGATATTTTGATGGGTGTTTATTTCGGCCGTCATTGTATTCTAGATTCCATTTACGCGTGACGTGCGGATTCTACAAGCTTAGGATATTTGTGCCTGTCCGTTAGGTGTGAAATGGGTTGTATTTTAGATTATTATATTGGTTAAATTATGAGTTTCATCAATTTCGTCTATTATGTAAACGTCTTTGTTGTTGGTTTTTATTAAAGTTTGTCTTCTTGTCATAAGATTCTTGTTGCTAATAACTAGGTTCCCTCGCATATACTTATGTAGGTACATTTGGTTCATTTGTACTGGTTTGAACCAGATTGTTAATTTTATTTTAAAATCTTGGTTTGTAGGTTCATCCTTTATCTTAATGCAATGCAGCTAGGAAATGTTATGATCAGCTTACTCGTATTTTAGTCGCCCCAGTTTGCTTTTGGAATATTTCCGAGGCTATAAATTAGATCATTGTTGTGCTCTACATTTATTGTCCAAGATATTCTTGTAAACATTATTCGACATAATTGATGATATAGTTTTGTACATGACAAATGATCTTGAGTCTGTCAAACATTCATTTTTATCTTATTACAGTGAAATCTCTAACTCACACAAACCCTATAAATTAATATCTAAGTATCAAGAACCTTAACCAGTGCTCCAAAACATTATGTGAACAGAATAAAAAGTGCAAGTGAAGTGACAATAGTGTTAAATATCAAAATGGCCACCTCAGTGCCGCCCCGGGTGTCCCGGAATGTGTCGTTGCCTGCTGGAAGACAGCCGCCGACGGTGGCCATGTTGGCTCGGAGGACGCTGTCTGAAAGGTAATTTTAGATTTAAACAGTGTTTTAGATTAAAGTATAGTCACTGGTAATCTTTAACGCCTGATGGATAGAAAACTTACAGGGCAAAAGCACCATCCTAGACTGAATTTCAATAACATCAAGTGTGATTGCAGTTGAATACCTGACTTGTCCTATTTGAAAAAATCTACGTTTTGAAAGGAAATAGTGTGAAATTATGACTACCGATCTGTGTAAGGCTTGCGATATTTATCTTACCTTAATATTAATAGTGTTTGTAGCAACAGAAAAAATATTGTTTTATCGCAATTCCTAATAACAAGATGGTCATAGGCAGATTAACATTACTCTCAAAAAAAAAAAAAACTTCAATGCCTAATTTAAATTCTAATTATTCGTGTTCGCCAGGGCTCAATATTGGGGCCGCTATTGTTATGAAATAGGTCATGATTTTGAAACACGTAAATTATTTACCATCCTCAGTGCTCCAGAATGTTCGGCATTTGCTGAAATGCCTCCGTCTGTCGTGACTCGTGCCTCCCTTTTGTCTCACATTCCCGATTGAAGTAATTGACGGCGAACGAATATTTCCCCAGAGGCTCGCGACTGGGACATAACTAATGGTTTTTTTGGATTTCGTCGAAAGATTTCTTTTAGCTCGGTATTATTATCGGTATATTTCTTGAGTTGTACGAAAAAGGTTTTCTGTTTTTTCTTTTCCCAGGTTATCCGCGATCAGTCGGATGACTTTAATCGGATCAGAAGTTATTAAGGCGTTCGAATTTTGTATGTGCTGGAAATTTTCATGTCTTTTTAATTTGATAACGCTCAAAAAAATTGTTATGTTTGTACACTGCCTTTAAATAGCTAAGTTCAAAATATGTGTATAACCTTCATTTTGCTTGTGTCTTAGATTAAACAAGTTCCTAAAAGCTTTGTCAAAGCATTGACAAAGCTGCTTATGCAAACATGAACTGGCGGGTCCATTAAACATCTGATGGATGTTCTCCTTTTGTCTCATTATTAGATTTTCAAGATTAATTTTGTGCTCGATTAAAGTTATTCTTTTATCATCACCCGGAACTAAGTGGTCGGCTGTCAAACGTGTTGTGTACACGAATGCGGTCGGCGTCAGTTCGTCTATCAGTTCATTAGGCTCTGTAATCGCTCCCTGAGTTACACCGACTGGTGCAATTATGATAACGTTGTGGATGTTTTTACTTGGACTGGTAGGTATTTTGTTTGTTGTTGATGACGCTTTGTGTTTTCGGATTTATCAGGTGCGTATGATAGTTGTGTGACTGTTGTATAGCTGATAGGGTCTGTTTTGATTTGGCGAAGTCTTCTACCATTCCTTTGGAATCATGAACATATTGATCTTGGAAAGTATTGATAAATGTTTGTTGGATACATATTGTTATTGAATGAATGAAAGAAAGAAACTCAGTAAATTTTGAAAACCCACGTAGTTGGTTTACACATTACACAATCTAAGTACCTGGTCTAATAATATTTGTTGAAATTGGTAGAGTTTTGAAAATGTGCCAATATTGACAAGAATCCCATTAGTCTGTCGTATCAATTTCTTTCAGGCTCAAGTGGTGTCAAGGTCCCTTATTATCGGGCAAATCAGTTTCAATTGTCTCTGCCAGTTCGGTGCTCGGTATATGCTTCCAAGATCTTCGTAGACTTTAGTTATTATTCTATGTTATGTGTTATGTTTCCGCCTGGCTAGCTACAACCCTTACCTAAGTATGCCGCCACAACAACAATGTTAACAGCATTGTTGTGTTCCGGCAGTTAAAGAGGTAAGATAGCCAGTTCCTCTGTGGGTGAGGATTCCGGGTGAAGCTCGTTTCCACCTTCGGCCTGATCATCACTTACCATCAGGTGAGTGAGATACAGGCCAAAAGCTTCCTCGTTGTGGTTAAAAAAATGTATATTATGCTGTATACCAAGAATAATATTCGCATGACAAACTGACATAGCCAGGGGATTTGTGAGGGGATTGCGGAATACATATGGGCCCCGTTTGATGCCATTGGAAAGTTTTGTACTCACGCGCGTAGGGATTTGTAATTCAATGAAAGCGTTAGAACGGGTGTGTCTGTGGATACAGCGATTTGCGAAGAGGGTGACAATAAATGACAACTTAATCGTTATTAAACACTGTAATTAAATTGCTTTTTATAGCGGCATTAAAAGGATTTTTTAAATTTAATAAATCGAAAACATATCTTATGAACAAGACGTTCAAGATAGAATCAAATGGCGACCAATTGAGGCGAGGCAGAAGAAGAAGAAGAAAACATATCTTATGTAGTTGGCGTGCTGTGTATGTTACACGATATTTAATTTAATCAGTACATTCAAATGACCTAATAAGAATTCAATTAGTACCGGTGGATTAGTAGATTTTTTTCCAATCGATTTCATAATCTTACGACACATTTTTGAATCAGATAATAATCGCTGGACTCTCGTATTTATATTTTTTGAGGTCGCAATTTCTTCATAACTCTCCTCGGGTAAAATAACTTCAAATTGCCAAAATTTTCATTTCGATGGGATACACTTTTGTTTGTTGTTGTTTTGGAATCGCTGCTTCGAGGGACCCACCCTTACTTCTGAACGGTTTCTGATGACGGCCAGTCTTACAAGGGCGCCGCTTAACCCCTCCATATTAATTACTGGATTGATGGTAATTGACGGAATTTTACAACAGCTATGGCAAGTTTTAATTGCGTTATGGTTCTGAGTGATAGTTCATGTTTAGGTTGAATATATGTGTTAGTATGCAAGGACAGAAGGGTCGTAGTATCAATCGGTCATCTGGATAGCAGCAGCAGTTGCAAGTTCGTATTCGTTGGGGGCAATAATATGATAAATACGAACATCTATATCTTGATGCTCTGGCTCATGTATCTTTGTATCTAGAACAGTATTGTTTTTAAGTTCACCAAGTAATTTATGAATTTTGGTTAGAATTAGAAGATGATTCAGAAACACCTGAGTTCTTCCCCCTCTGTCAATCGATTTCGATCCATAACCTGTCTGATTCACGAATCATTTTAAAACAGCCGGTCCCGAAATAGCGGTAATCGGTAGCAAAGGTCGGCGCGCGCGCAGGAAGCGCCGCGCAAACACACGCGGGATGTTGATGGAAGCGAGTCGCATAATGTCAAGGATTTGGTGGATGGATGAATGGGATTTGTATGGGAAAACTCGTTGTTTATCGCTGTCGCACATGCTAGCGATTCGGTTTTGTATGTTGACGAAAGCGAGTCCGAATCGCATAATGTCAAGGATTTGGTGTATGAAATTGCTTTGTGGCTCTGCGTATCTACGTCTACACAGTAGGGCTACTCCGAAAAACGTTATCTGAAGTTCAAATGTTGCCATCCTTCTCACGCACAGCGAGATGCCAGCATGAGTGACGATGACAGATAGATACGAAACTACGTAAACAGCATTCCTTAGAATCCCTATTGTTCTCTGGTTGGTCTATCGCTGTCGCATATGCTATTTTGTCTTCACTGAAAGGATGAATGAATCCCAAAATACAAACGATGCTTATAGCTCTTCTGATTTGAGCCAATAAATATTTTTAGACGCTTGAAAAATGATTTACTAATGCGAATGACGTATCTATTAACGATCGTCAGCAGTCGTCTTGTAGAATCAACATAATTGATCTTAATTGTGTTTGGACTAAAATGATATCTGTAGTCAATAATAGTCATACCTTAAATACCAACATTCGAGTGATTTGATTTTGATAGATCACAATTTAATTCTGTGTGCATTCAAATCTTGTTTTGTCATAATGATTGCTGTATTTCGTTTAAACTCCTGTGAGATTAGCAGTATGCATCATTTCTTATACGGGGCTAGGTTTGAATTTAACCCATTTAGGATATTTTTGTTCTTCCCTTTTCCTTATTGCCTATCTACAAGAATTCTATCCATCAGATGAATTATGTGCCAGAATATAAGCACTTGAGCAGGTCCACATTTGCAGCAGGACCTTTTTAGACTTGTGACGTCACCTGCGTCAATTTTCGGTATTGTCGACCTCAACCTTTTTGAGAGAGATCCCTAAATTCCCGCCAATCAGAAGGGCAGGGTACTTGTGACACACCGTCGGCGAGTGGAAGACAGGGAAGGCTAGGTTTTCTTCTGGATCCGATCCGCTCCTAAATGAGAGCGACTTATAGATTTTTTGAAGCCACGATAGCCGAACGGTGTAGAGGTCGGACTGGCTGACTTGTGATCCGGGGAACGCGGGTTCGGTCCACGCCGCCGCTCGACTATTGTGGTCACCTCACTCGTGATTCAAGCATATTTAGCTTAGTACGAGGGGCTAAAGGGACTTAAAAAAATTATAATTGGAGATTCGATTTAACATCACCGTTCTTCTTCCGCAGTGACCTGGAGCCGGGAGCAGCTACCGCGCCGTCTGGGTCGTCCAGCAGCTCGAGTCTCTCCTCCCGCAGCAACGAGAGCAACACCGTCGCTGCTGAGCAACAAGGTATGTTTGAGGACCGTTTCAATGAGAGTTTTCCTAATTGCGCTCTAGCAAGTAAGATCCTTTCACTTTCCGCAGTTGTCATTTGCTTTGCACTGGAGTGAAGTCGAACCTTAACTTCGAACTCTTATGTTCTTTTGATTAATTTTGTTGCGGGTCCAATGACAGTTTTAACTTTCCCCCGGGACGAACTTGACCTTCACTGGTTGGGTTTTTATTGGCGGTCAAGCTGTAGATCATAGCTACACAGGAGTTGCAGCGGTGGCAACGAGAAGTGGGAATAGTCCTGTTGCCACAGTGGCACAAATAACCTCATTAAATTGACTTTTTGGTCAGTTAAGAAAAATATGGTCTTTATTTTGGACATGGACCAGCTAAGCTCGAACTTCTGTTTTGGGCGGACAATTGTGGCACCAATGCAGCCTTGAGAGTGAACGATGCATGACTCATCAGATGAGGCGAACAGGAGGAGTTGAAAGCTTATTTTTCGTTTCAAACAAATATGCCGGCTGCTAAATAAAGACCTTTCCCAAAGATTTTAAATAAATAAATAAATTTTGACCTCGACCGCTCGTGTTGCTTAAATGGTGTATTTATCCTAACAGCGTCCCAGTCTGACTGGTCGGAGGAGGACGAGCCGCTGGCGGCGCAGTGGGCGGACAGCCTGCCGCCGCACGTTCTGGAGGCGCTGCAGCTGTCCTCCAGGTTGAGGAAGCGCCAGGAGGTCATCCATGGTGAGTGCTGTGCGTCCCCGCAGCGTCCCAGTCTGACTGGTCGGAGGACGAGCGCAGTGGGCGGACAACCTGCCACCACTGCTGATTCTATTTGGTTCTTATAGAGTTCATTAGATCCTTATCTTGAGGGAGGGACCTCATGTCCAGGAGATCTGACAAAATTCACATATTGTAATAGGGCCGACGGATTTTAAGCTGTTTTTTGAAGAATTAAATTATATACCACCAATAATTATGGGACACAATATATCCTCTGTGTATTGGATACTTCCAAATACGATCGCATCGCCCACTTTGAAATTTTTCTCCATTTTAGTCGAGGACAATAGATGCTGAGATTTTTTTGATTAGAACTGAACTCTACCATATGTGTGCTTAGTGTTAATGTACTGCTCAATGTTCAAGAGTTCTCTAACTGATAGAGAGATAAATGTTTTTTTTTTTGCAAATCACAACCATCATCAAAAATCATCATAACTGTTATAAATGTACCGTCATTCGCCCGCAGAACTGATTGTATCCGAGGGCTCTCACGTGCGCTGGCTGAAGGTCCTCTGCCGCGTGTTCCTTCGTCCCTTGGAGGCGGCACCATCGCTACTGCCGGCCGACGAGCTTCGCGCGCTATTCCCGAACTTGCCCGACGTGCGAGACTGGCACGCAGCGCTGCACGCGCGTCTTCGTGCGGCGAGACATAACGCGCCCTCGCATCTCGTGCCGTTGAACGCGCTCGCCGACGCCATGTTGGCCACGGTAAGTGTTTGTCTACTCTTCACGTACTTCACGCCCTTCAGGCTACTAGCATTACGTTGATTGATGTCTAGGGGTTACTAACAGAACATTCTCGACGAATGGCAACACACAAGCCTTGTAAAGCCAACAAAAGAAAAAAAACAGTACATTCAACTGTCCTTCGGGTTACCGGTACAATATGTGCCCTTCAGGTTTTTACCGGTACATTGACTGGTCTACAATGGCATCTTATCTGTTACCGTTACATTTTGGTTACCAGACTGTTACCGTTACATTGACGAGTCTACAGGCTACCACGTTACATTAATGACTCTTCAGGTTACCACCCGTACAGTGACTACCTTCCAGGCTGCCTTATGTATGGACAGACGTCATCATCAATATCATAATAATATAAATGTTTTATTTGACAAAAAGGGCGAAATCACATTAAAATTTACATAAATTACAAAAAGAAAAACATTGTGCCCTGCTGTCAAATAGGGGCCCGCTCAGCATTAATCGGGCCACGTCGTGGGAATGCCTCGACACTGATTTTCAGCGGGTCTCTTTCATTCGGATTATCAGGTGCCTATTTAGGCTGTTACCGTTACATTGACGGGTTTACCAGGCGACCACCGGTACATTGGGTGCCCTTTGGGGTCTGGCGCATAGACAGGTCATTTTAGGTTGTCACCATAACATTGGCGGATCTACAATCAAATTGATGGGTGCCATAATTGATCAATCTCTAGGCGGCCACCATTGCACTGAGTGATTTCTAGGCTACCTGCGTTACATTGATGTGTGTATTTCCCCTTCCAGCTGGGCGAGCCATCGTACGCGGCGTGTTTATCCCGCTTCTGCCGCGGGCAGCGCCTGGCTTTAGAGGCACTTCGAGAGCGCCGGCGCAAGAACAAGGAGCTGCACCAGTTCCTGGCCACGCGCGAGCAGCTGCCGCTGTGTGGGCGGCTCCAGCTGCGCGACCTGCTCGCCTGCGTGTGGCAGCGGTGAGTCATCATCATCATCAAGTCATCATCAGTGAACAAGGAGCTGCACCAGTTCCTGGCCACGCGCGAGCAGCTGGCCTGCGTGTGGCAGCGGTGAGTCATCATCGTCATCATCATCATCATCAGTGAACAAGGAGCTGCACCAGTTCCTGGCCACGCGCGACCTGCTCGCCTGCGTGTGGCAGCGGTGAGTCATCATCGTCATCGTCACGTCATCATCAGTGAACAAGAGCTGCACCAGTTCCTGGCCACGCGCGACCTGCTCGCCTGCGTGTGGCAGCGGTGAGTCATCATCGTCATCATCATCATCATCAGTGAACAAGGAGCTGCACCAGTTCCTGGCCACGCGCGAGCAGTTCAGATCAGAGATCAGTGCAGATCAGTAGTGCAAGCGCTAATTGGAACTGCGTCAGTTGACTGTGGAGTGAGTCTACTCAGCTAGCCCATGCATATTTAGCAGTACTCACTCAATGGGGATACTAGTAATTAAGAAAAGAAAATCATCATTTAGTCTCTATTACAGCCCATTACAGCCTTCTTTGATTTACCAGAGGAAGTCAGAGGGTTTGACCTGCATTCTCCATAATAGCTAGACGAGTTGGAGAAGGTCATCATATTTTTTTTTTAATTTGACTAGGACTTGCATAATTTGATCTATGTATTTAGGCCCTACCGTTACGTCAAGACACTAATGTGGGCTTTACAGCTGCTTCAGAATAGGCTGGTGTTGAGAAGAAATGGCGGAAGAAGCTCAGGCACCTTTATCAGCCTCATAATACCAGACTTGTGATATTAATTTGATTCTTTTTGCAACTCCCCAGGCTAACCAAATACCGCCTACTCCTCGAGAGCGTACTCAACACAGTGTGCGAGGAAGAGGATGACCCGTCTGATGTGGTGCAGTTGAGGCGCGCACTCGACGAGGCCAAGTATATGCTGCACAGCGTTGATACCTCCATCCGAGCCGCTGAGAACGAGCACAGGTATGTAAGGGGTGGTATAATGTGCAGGGGGTGGATATAATGTGTGGGGAAGAATATAATGTGCAGGGCGTGGGTATAATGTGTAGGGGGTAAGTTAAATTGCGTGTTTGGGGAATGAATACATGCTGCAAAGCTTTGTCACTTTTGCGGAGGATGAGCATAGGTATGTGGGGGAGATATAATGTGTAGGGTGCGGGTATAATGTGTGGGAGAGTCTCCAGGAGTAGACGAATATTGTAGAACGTCCTCAATAGTATGTGAGGAAGAAGACGACCCGTCTGATGTGGTGCAGCTACGGCGCGCGCTCGACGAGGCCAAGTATATGCTGCACAGCGTTGATACCTCCATCCGAGCCGCTGAGAACGAGCACAGGTATGTAAGGTGATATAATGTGTAGGGTATAATGTGCAAGGAGGAGGGTATAATATGTGGGAGAGTCTCCAGGAGTAGATGACTCTTGGGGAGTGTCCCGAGAACGAGCACAGGTGTGTTGGGTGATATAATGTGTAGGGGGTGGATATAATGTGCAAGGGGTGGATATAATGTGCAGGGGGTGGATATAATGTGTAGGGGGCGGATATAATATGTAGGGGGTGGATATAATGTGTAGGGGGTAAGTTAAATTGCGTGCGTGAGGGATGAATACATGCTGCAAATCGTTGAAACATCTATCCGAGCCGCTGAGAACGAGCACAGGTGTGTGGGAGGTGATATAATGTGTAGAGGGCGGGTACATTGTGTGGGAGGATCTCCTGGGAAAATCCAAGATATTGGAGAGCGTCTTCACAGGTACGTTGTGTCCCCGGTAGATAAATGTATACATTTTGGTAAATAAATTGCTAGAGAGGCGGAAACACAAATGTAAAGAATTGGATACCTTCTGTGTGGGGATAAATATAAAGTGTGGGGATATTAGAGTACGTCGGAAGTGAGTACATTGTTTTCTTGCGGGGAAGTGGGTAAATTGAAGAAGGTAACTTCTATGTGTAAAAGACCCTGCTCCTTTTCGAAGTATACACTCGGTTCTAACCAGCCACCTTCAATTCCAGACTGCGCACAATCCAGAGCAAGCTAGAAGTGCGCGTGGAGCGCGGCGCCGGTGCCGAGTGGGACGAGCTCAAGCGGCTCGACCTTACGCAGCATCGTCTGCGGCTTGAAGGAGACCTCAGCTTGCGCCACGAGTCGTCTAAAAAGACCGCCATGCTGGTGAGAATGTTTACATTATCAGGTCATTTACGCCCGTATTCACAAAAGATGCTTGCTTAAGTGAAGCACTCTGTGCGTCCACGTGCACTGCCAGACCTCATAGTAATGTTTTTGAATACGGGCGTTAGTCACCACTGTAGGAGGCGACAACCTTGTCTAATTTATCAGAGGCAAAAGGAGATTTTGAGCCCCATCGTCAGGTCATTTAATATCCACTAAAAACTTTTACTAAAAGTTTTACCTACACTTCAATAATCTGGTACGACGACTTAGGAAGAGCTGATGTTCGCATATTGCTCCCTTAGAGAGCTCTTACAATATCCACGAAAAGAGGGGGGGGGGTCCTATTCTACTCTGCTGGAATCGCACGGCTAATATTTACATCGTAATTGTGAAAGTTTCAAGACGTATACTTCGTCTATGTAAAATAATTACAGTCGCATAGAAAACCAACTCGCAAAGTCCCCTTTCCAGAATACCTTGCTGCATAGATATGCATTTAGACTTGTCATGGAGTTTATGGTATGTGATGTGTTGTGTCGCAGGCGCTGATGTTCGAAGAGATGCTGGTGTTACTGCAGCGCGAGGGCGACAAGTACGTGCTGCGGCCCATCCCGCAGCCCTCGCAGCACGCCGCGCTCTCGCCGCTCATCAAGTGGTCAGTACTACTGTCCTTCAGTGGACTTCTGGTTCACTACCGTTACATTGTCGTACTATAGTCTGCTAAAGTTACATTGAAGAGTCTGTAGGCTGACCGTTACCAGAGTAAATAAAAATGAGTAGGTCATCTTCATAGAAACGCACCGAGCGCGGTTTGTATGTGAGCGCGCCAACACGTATGCGGCGCGCACGCACACACGGTGCGTTTCTATGAAGATGACCTACTCATTTGTATTTACTCTGCCGTTACATTGTACTGCTATTAGAGGCTACTTCTGTTACAATAACTGACCTAGGCTACTAACGTTACATTAACCGACCTCCGGACTACCATAGTTACATTGTTTGCTACTGTTACATCAACTGGTTCCAGGCTACCAATGTTACATTGACTGCGTCTCAGGCTACTATCGTTACATTGACAGGCTCACAGGCTACCAATGTTACATTCACTGGCTCCCATGCTACCAACGTTACATTGACTGTTTCTCAGGCTATCAACGTTACATTAAATGGCTCCCAGGCTACCAACGTTACATTGACTATACTCCAGATTTCTACTGCTATTAACTCATCGTTACACTTGACTAAATTGCTGGCTGGCATTGTTACATTTAATGAATTATACCCCGTCATCGTTACATTGAATGACCTGCTGGCTGTCATCGTTACATTTACTGACCTACACCACCGTTACATGGACTGGTTTCTATATTACCAATGTTACATTGACGAGTTTTTAGACTGCGACCGTTACATTACCAATCTATTACCGTTACATTAACTGTTTTTCAGGCTGCTAGTGTTTAGAATAACATATTTTCGTAATATTAAATAACATTTGCATAATTTGAACCTTATCACCACAGGGACAAAGTCCTGTTCCGGCCAAACGCAGCGGTCCGCAACACGTTCTTCCTGATGAACATCAATGGTGTCCAGATGCACGAACTGTCTGCTAACTCCAACGCTGATTATAACACGTGAGTTTTTAGTTTGTGTTTGTTCTATTTATTGTAATAGGTATAAGTCATAGTAAAATGATGTAGATGAAAGTTTTGAAATATAAAAAACGAGACGTTTACACTTACATTTGTACACACATAAGACTTTGGCCAGCGTCAAAAAAGATGTCATTTCAGTCACGTAGGTATTAGACATTTCCAGGATATAATTCAGAAAAATCTCTGCTTCTTTAACAAGCAAAAGCAGTTCGAGGATACCTACGCTTAAAGGTCATAGCAGACTTATCAACTCAAATGGATCAATATCTTATAGCCTTTTGCGCGCTGTCAACCGCAAGGCGATGCGTTTACTTCACAGAGCGAATAAGTGCGTTGCAGTATGGAGTTTCATACAAAGAATATTGACCGCCTCAAAGTTGATACGGTTACGCTTTCCGAGTTGATAAGTGTGCTACGTGCTTAAAGCCCGATTCGACTAAACTTTTGCCCGAGAATAACTCCTGGTATAACTGGCACATTGATAGTTTCAGTATTTATTCAGTATTTTATTACATTTTTTTGTCCCTGCGTACAAGGTACCCACTGAAAACCAGTGTCTTGGCACTTGGCAGTAAAATGTCAACTGTCAAGATGATACTGAGTGGGTGACAACATTTCTTTGGCAACATTTTTTTTCCTCATTTCATTGTTTTTGTTCTTTTTTAGTTGTCCAATAAATAATTTTTCTTTCTGTCTTTCTTTTCTTTCAGTATGGGAAATATGTTAAAACTGACGATTTATTCAGAGATTAATATTTACTTGTTTGGTCGAATCCACCCTAAGTCGTATAAAATTAACCCCATATATTTGTTACAGGTGGGTGAACTACATCCAAGAAGCCCCGCTAGCGAAGGTGGAATTGAAGCAGAGTGTAACTCCCTCGCACCAGGCCAGCCGCTCCACTGACGACTCGGGTGAGCTAACCAATTTTTATTGTTTTTGGACCCTAATACAAGACGATAAAGTTCAAATTTGAATGGACATCCTGTTATAATAATTGTTAATCGAAAAGTAAGTTGATAAAGATTCAAATATGGTGGAAACTTATTATTTCAGCCTTTTAAGGGGCTAACATCCATACCCGTTCTCCTAGTCTTAGGTAAATGGCAACGCAAACGCGATGTTTTGCGAAAATAGGAAGTAGCTACTATAGTCTGGTCTGCGAAGCACGTAGAATTTTGTCCAATGACCCCAAGCTACCCATCCTTATCGCTCGCGCGTAATTATATTGCTGTCGCGACTGTGCGACGGGCGCCCGCAGTGAGTGTGCGAGTTTATTGCTTCTATAATGTTTACAAAGGGTGTTATTGGTAAGGTAAGATACAATTATGGACCCTGTCGGGCACTGGATATAGGAAGTAACTAGTAAGTGATCATTGTATAATATTTGTAGGCCGCTATTAAAATAGTGGATTACGTTGTCACGTAAGATCCATGTCGTGTGAAGTCGCATTACGATGTGTCGCTTCATACCGCGTTCTGTTGCTCAACTAAGGCCCAGTACATGACGTTTGAAACCGGTCAGACTGGTCGCGTCATGTGTGGTCTCTCAACGGACGCTATGGCAGAAACTTAGATGCAACTCAAACGTAACTAGAAGTTGCAGTTTCGTTGCAGTTGCGTTTCACCGTGTGTTCTGGGCCTAATATAACAAGTAAGCCGGTTGAGATTTGTCACTTTTCTCACTGCTCTCATACTGGCAACCTTTTCTTAATATCGAAATTGTTTAGTTGGTTTAGATATGTCACCGTAAAATTTTGAATTCCGTCAGATTATAATCTGACGTAGTTAAATTACAATCTTACCTAACCTAACCCACTGTTAGTTTACAATCTAACGCGTTATATTATAAATAGTGACCGACCGAATATTCGTTTTCGTTTTCGTTTTCGGCCATTTTCGGCCAAAAAATGGATATTCGGCCATATTTTCGTTTTCGGCCAAAAACCAGCCGAAGCTTCGGCCAAACCGAATATCAGAAATACGTGAATAAGATGGTGACGTTTATCGTTCCGATATCTTCGGGAGTGAATCTGATGCACTCATGGTTCCAACGCGGTATTGTCACACTCTTTTGAAGTTTTGAAGTGAGGTTACATTGAATACAAATAAAACCAAAGAGTTTTCATTAAGTTTAATTGTTTCAAAATAGAGTCTAATCATCATCATCATCATCATTTCAGCCATAGGACGTCCACTGCTGAACATAGGCCTCCCCCAATGCTTTCCATGTTGATCGATTGGCAGCGGTCTGCGTCCAGCTCGCTCGAAGACCTTAATCGAGTTTCCCAACAGGTAGGCCTGAGGATGAACATGGACAAAACGAAGCTTATGTCGAATGTCCATGTTACGCCCTACCCAGTTTCAGTTGGGAGCTCAATTCTCGAGATTGTCGACAAGTATGTCTACCTCGGACAAACGATCCAGCTAGGTAGGTCCAATTTCGAGAAGGAGGTCAATCGTCGAATCCAACTTGGCTGGGCAGCGTTCGGGAAACTACGCAACATCTTTTCGTCCAAAATACCTCAATGCCTGAAGACTAGAGTGTATAACCAATGTAACACACATTGCACCAGTGATAACTTATGGCTTGGAAACGTGGCCTCTCACTATAGGCCTTATACAGAAGCTCAAAGTTGCACAGCGTGCTATGGAGAGGGCTATGCTTGGTGTTTCTTTGCGAGATCGAATCAAAAATGAGGAGATCCGTAAACGAACCAAAGTCGCTGACNTTTTTCTTGTGGGGATATCTCAAGTCAAAAGTTTACAGCAAAACAATCCTTAAATAATTCAGGTTCTGTAAGAAAATATCCGCCGTGAAGTTGCAGGAAAATTATTAGCGCGATTTGCTCTCGCATAGTTGCGAATGTAAGGGTCCGGCTGTGAGAGTGCCTAAAGTAAAACGGGCATCATTTAAAAGACATTGCCTATAAAAAAATAAATCCGCATTGTTAAACTCCAGTTTGCATTAGTAATAAATAATAAAAAAATCATTAATTTATTTGTATGAATCATTTTTGAAGTTGAAAAATTCCCACTGGACACCCTTTATTTCTTCTTCACTTCCCAATATTTCAATATACACGGGAAATAATATTCTACTAAGAATTCATAATTCATTTTTTTGTGTTTTAATGCCGGTTTTCTTTAATCAATCCTTATCAAAAACAACTGTCAAACATCATTATGTTTTTGGTCAAAACATTAACGGTTTTCAAAGTTTTTACATAATTTCAGATTGAAATTTGAGAGTTGAAGGTCATTTTCGTTTTCGTTTTCGTTTTCGGCCGAAAATGAGACTGCAGCCGAAGCTTCGTTTTCGTTTCCGTTTTCGGCTGAAAATCCATATTCGGTCGGACACTAATTATAAACTGACAGAGTTCACAATTTCACGTTGACAGATACATAATCTTTAAGTAAAAAAATATGTTCACAGGCATCAACGTATCCCGTAACCCATCGGACGCATCCGAAAAATCCAACCTAACGGCCGAAGACACCGAGCCAGAGCGAGACAGGTGCTCGTTAGAACGCGCCGAGAGCGACAGGGACAGAGCATCCACCGAGAGGAGCGTGCCGGACAAGGACAGCACGATGGAGGACAAGGAGAAAGAAAATCAAGAGAAGTGTGATAAAGAGCCCGAGGCAGTGGAGAGAGAGGAGAAACATGTGTGAGTGGATTATTTTGATTTTTGTCGGTTGTTTTCGATATTATAATCTCCAGATGGTCTAGCTAGGTCTAGGATGCATGCCAAGATAAAATTTTATCGATGTTTTAGACGATAAATGTATGGGCTTATCGTACAAAATCGATAAAATGCCTCGATAAGTCGATCGTGCCGCTCATCTTCGGCCTACAGAATAATGTGTAAGATGTGAAGTCAAAGTAAGACTGATGTCTAAATATTGTCAGACAACTACGCCGTATCAACCGCTGATGGGATTTATTGAAAGACGTGTATTAGCTGCCGAATGCTTTATTGCACTGCTTATAAAAATGCTACCAAAGTCCCAAATGTAGGTCAGGCGCAGCTGGCCAAAGTGCATGAATAAAATGCAAGTTAACAATAATTCCAGTGACCAGTCCGACACCTTGACCGTTCGGCTATCGTCGTTCTAAAAGCTTTTGGCATTCAACCGCCACTGTTTCATAATATTGATAAATTGTATCTAACTCCATGTTTTCCGTATCCCACAGCCCACGGCGCCCAACAGTGGGCCGCATAAGCACGCACGCCAGCAACACTGCGCCGGGATTAGAACCTACGGGAGCCATTACTGTGCGCCCGCCCGTCGCCGCCTCCGCTCATACTGCCGAGACAGCGTATACCTACCAAGGTCAGTCCCACAGCCCACGCCCAACAGTGGGCCGCGAGCCCACGGGAGCCACCACTGTGCGCCCGCCCGTCGCCGCCTCCGCTCACACCGCCGAGACTGCGTATACTTACCAAGGTCAGTCCCACAGCCCACGCCCAACAGTGGGTCGCGAGCCCACGCCCAACAGTGGGCCGCGAGCCCACGGGAGCCATTACTGTGCGCCCGCCCGAATCGAACCAACTAAAATTTGTTAAAAATTACAACCTGTATTTTTATTGCATCGATCGTTGGGGTCAAGTATAAGGATAAAATCTCTCTAACAAACTTGATAAATCAAATGAAAGGAAATCCATAAAATCTTAAATTATTTTAATTATGTACAGAAAATTGTATGCTACGTAGTGAATTTTCGAAAAAAATTCGAAAATCTATGAATGCAGTTCTCTTTCTTTTCAAAAATAAAGGAATGTTTTCTTTCATTAAAATTTTCTATCTGCAGTATTAAGAGTACTTTCCCTCCAGGTGGCATTACAAAATTCCACCCTGTATATGTATGTTGTGTTTGCAGAGCGTCTCCGCCGCCTAGACGAAGGCATCGTGGCAGCACTAGCGGCCAAGCGCGCGCTCGTGGGCCGCGCGCTCGGCGTGCCCGCGCCCGCGCACGCGCATCTGGCTGAATTGGCCGTCGCAGAGGCGCTGGGAGACCTTGGTGAGTCACTGCCTTCCAGTTTATAAGGGTAACTCTAGGATTGATACTCCAAGTTTGTAATTCCAAACTGTATCCCCCTTACTAAAGCCTGGTCCGTGAGCACGTAGAATCCCGTCCAATGACCCCGAGCTACCCATCCCTATCGCTCGCGCGTAATTATGCTGTATTAAAATAAGTACTTTTATATCCTAAGTAGGTATATTTGAAATGTTATTTTTTCAAAGGTAGAATAACAGTAATATTTACCTACATACATACCTCTTTACAAATAAGTAGAATAATTATTTTTTCACGAGACAGCAACCCTAACAGCGTAAGAAGGGTTCAGAGGCACGCGATAGAAAGAGACAAAACTTGTAGGTAAATAAAATTGTAGGCACGCAGTGTTGTGCGAGCTGAATTCCACTGTATCGCGTCGTAGCAAGACTCGCATTTGTTTAAGGCCGGGTAGCAGAGAAAATGGCGAAAATGAGGTTTTCATTTTTCATTTTTGAGGTACTAAACAGTAAAATTAAAGGCTAAGATTTTTATTGGGCATAGTTGAGGATATTTTCTAGGGCTATTAACGGATGGAAACACGATTTGATGAAGTTGACTCGATAGAATAAATTCCCAAAGTCACCTCTATTCGTTTTCTAATTATGGTTTTATTTTTAAAATAAGCGATTTGAGATTCTAAATCTTTTACTAAACTAAAGTTCAGAAATAACTTGAGGGCTTTTAACGGATGGAATTTTTATATTGCGTCTTATTTAGTTACTATGNTAAATCGTCTTGGGGAGTAAACCTTCTGTAATACTATTACTTATTCTGTGCTTTGGGGCTGACGCTGTGTGAAATTGTGCAAAGATTTATTATTATTATTACATTCCCGCAGACATCAACCGCGAGCTGCGCGCGACGCGACAGAGTTCCCGCGAGAGCAGCGACGACGACGCGCCGCAGGAGCCCGACGTCATGCAGCTGCTGCTAGCTGCTCATGAACAAGGTATGTTTAAAGTTTCCACGGTAACAATAACACTTGCTCCTTACAATAACTCTAGCACTTTACAATAACACTTATACTTGGATTAAGATCCAAGTTCAATCCAAGGAAACTTTAGACTATTGTAAGCAATAGTCTAAAGTTTCCGCGGTAACAATAACACACTTCAACATTACAATAACACTAAAACTTGCACCTTACAATAACACTCGTACAATAAAATTAACACTTGACAAAACCACTAACATTTGCACATTACAGTAACACTAAAACTTGTGCCTTACAATAACACTTCCACCTTACAATGACAGTAAAGCTGAGTTGCACCACCTAACTTTGACGGTAACTATAACGATAACCGATGTTTTTTATATGGAGTTTGACAGATTTTTGACGTTTGTCAAAGTTAAAGTAAGATGGTGCAACCTAGCATAACATTTGCTCCTTACAGTAACATTACTTCTACCTTACATTAACATTCGTACCTTACACTTCTAATCTACTTTTCACATTATTACTTTACACCAAGACAACTAACAATTTTATCTTACTCTAACACTTCTTCTACTCATAACTTCTGAATCTCATACTAATATTTGTAATCCACATATTTCTATCTTACACATACCTTACCTATACCTTAAGCTAACACTAAACAGATTTTTCAAACATCAGATATATTTTATCTGAAGAATAACCTTGTGTTTTTGACATATTTCCCATACTAAAACTGTAAATGTGCCAAAATTATTCTTCAGTTAAAAGTTATCCGACTATTGAAAAATCGGCCCTGACACTTCTACCTCACGCTAACATTTCTACCTTACACTTCCACTTCAACCTGACAATAACAATTACACCTTACACTAACAATTTTCATGTTCAGGAAACTTTCAAGTGATTTTTACTTTTACGTCATGATCTTGACAGAAGTGTCTTGAGTAGAAGTGATACACGTATAGCTAACGACGACATGTTTCGCCCACAGCAACCCAGCTAACCGAAGCGATCTCCAAAGCGTTGACCGTGAACGAAGCCGCCGTCGTGGCCGCCCGCGCGCGTCGTGGCCGCTGCAACAACTGTCGCGGCCCCGTCGTGTCGCAGCAGTCCGTCGCGTCGCAGCACGCCACGACGCCGCCCGTCGCGCCGCCCGCGTCGCCGGCGCCGCAACAGGCCGTCGCGAGCGTGGCGAGTGTCGTGACGCCTGTAGCGAGCCTTGTCACGCCGGCGGTTAGCCGGACCAGTGTTGCAGGTAAATTAGTTGATTACATCGATATCGATAGGTGGAAAATATTAACTACGTCTCGTGAAACCGCTATTCATAGGTTGCTGGTTCATATCCGGCTCGAAGGACCAAATGGAAAATTTGGGTGTAAATTAAAATTGTTTTATTAATTAAGTAATAAGTTATCAGTCCACCTAGTGGGGGGGCTTGTCAACACTACGTCCGCCACTCGAGAACTTTTCTGCCCCAACGGCTATTATCTCATCGGGCTATGTGCCCCGCCCACTGCCACTTGAGTTTAGCAAAATGAAAAATTTAAGAAAAATCCTTGGGGAGGCCTTTGTTCAGTAATGGACGACATTGACTAACACGAAAGGACAAAACGGGACTATTCCCACCTCTCGTTTCCACCGCTGTAACTCCTGTGTAGCCAGGATCTACAGCTTGACCGCCAATAACACGAAAGGTCAGTGAATAGGTCAATAGTTACAAGTATTATAACGTAGTATCGTCCACAGATACCCCCGAGTTCTCCAGACCCCTCGAAGACGGCGACCAGTCCCTAGACCGGCAGGTGGCGTCGTCGCTGGCGCTGCTGGAGCGCTCGCTGTCCAGCGACGCGTCGTACGACATGCTGCGCGAGCTCGACGCGACCGCGCAGCCCGAGCCAGACGCCGGGGACGCGCTCGGTGAGTCACACGCCAGGCGACCCGCAGGCGGCGTCGTCGCTGGCGCTGCTGGAGCGCTCGCTGTCCAGCGACGCGTCGTACGACATGCTGCGCGAGCTCGACGCGACCGCGCAGCCCGAGCCAGACGCCGGGGACGCGCTCGGTGAGTCACACGCCAGGCGACCCGCAGGCGGCGTCGCGCTCGGTGAGTCACACGCCAGGCGACCCGCAGGCGGCGTCGCGCTCGGTGAGTCACACGCCAGGCGACCCGCAGGCGGCGTCGCGCTCGGTGAGTCACACGCCAGGCGACCCGCAGGCGGCGTCGCGCTCGGTGAGTCACACGCCAGGCGACCCGCAGGCGGCGTCGCGCTCGGTGAGTCACACGCCAGGCGACCCGCAGGCGGCGTCGCGCTCGGTGAGTCACACGCCAGGCGACCCGCAGGCGGCGTCGCGCTCGGTGAGTCACACGCCAGGCGACCCGCAGGCGGCGTCGTCGCTGGCGCTGCTGGAGCGCTCGCTGTCCAGCGACTAGCTAGAATGACCGCGATAACGGATTTTGCCCATACATTTTGACGTCGATAAGAGTATATCACGGCGCGTATCCTAGCCGGCAGGCTGCTAGAGATGACCGGTCCATCGAGCGACAGTTTCAAACGAGTTCAATTTTGCTTGACCCAAAAAGCACACTGAAAACCAGCGTGGTGGCCTTCCTCACCGGGGGCCACGGCATATGCTGAGTGGGGTCCCATTGCGATGGGCATCGCTGTGCGACAGGGTGGCACTGCTCAGTTTACTTTCTCTTCCATTGTATGTTTTATGTCACCTCTATCTTATTTGCTTTTTTTATTTACATCTTTTGTCTTTTGTGATGTCCAATGTCCATGGCAATAAATGTTTCTTTCTTCCTTTTTTTCAAAAAGAGCTCCCAGTTAGTCCTGCCAATTAAGGCCTGGTTTCCACCAAAGTGGAGACGAGACGAATATGCGGCGAAGTTATTTATTAGGTTATTTACTCAAAAGCAGAGCGGAGAGACGAGCCGAAAGGTCAACTGTCAGTCTATTACTATCTACGAATCGTAAGACGTTTGTGGCTTGGGAAGAAGATAGCTAGTTCCGCTCGAGTCCGCCCGAGACATCTCCGTTCCTCTCCGCCTTGGTGGAAACTGGACCTAAAAGTGCAAGACTGGATTTTTTAGTGGGTTCATTATTTCTTAGATAATGTTTGGGACTATTCCCACCTCTCGTTCCCACCACTGCAACTCCTGTGTAGCCAGGATCTACAGCTTGACCGTCATAAAAATCCAACCAATGGAGGTCAAGATTGTCCCGAGGGAAAATTAAACTATCATTGGACCCGCATTAGACTCTTAAGCCTTGATCACACGTACTGAGCAAACGGGCGAGACAGTGCTCTCGGCCGAGTACTTGGTGTGTATGAACATTACGCCGAGTATGTGACTCGCTCACCCAACTGTCTCGACCGAGTAAACATTTTACTGTCTCGCCCGCTTACTCGATACGCGTGATCAAGGTTTTAGAGCAGCTCAGTCGGTAGAGCATGACTCTTAGACAATGTTCGACAAAACAAATTAATGGGAGTTTTAACTTATATTCTGTTTACAGAGAGCAACGCATCAGCAGCGCTACTAGCCGCCAAACTGACGCGGCTCGCGTGCGGCGTGCAGAGCTCCCTCTCGGGGCTCATCCTGGCGCTGCCGCACGACGCGCCGCCGCGCGCCGCCCTGCGCGCCCAGCTGGCTGCCGCTACCGAGCGCGCGCATAGGTTGCACGCTGCGCTGGCTAGCCAGGCGCCTAACGGTTAGTGCACTAGTCACTGTCAAGAGTCTTAGTACACACCGCCCTATGGATAGCAAACGCCGCCCTATAATATACACCGCCCTATACTTAGTGCACGCCGCCCTATGGTTAGTACACGCCGCCCTATGGTCGGTACACGCCGCCCTATGGTTAGTACGCTGCCCTATGGTTAGTACACCCCGCACGACGTGCCGCCGCGCGCCGCCCTGCGCGCCCAGCTGGCTGCCGCTACCGAGCGCGCGCATAGGTTGCACGCTGCCCTTGCTAGCCAGGCACCTAACGGTTAGTACACGCTCTATGGTTGGTATGCCGCCCTATGGTTAGTACGCCGCCCAATGGTTAGTATCTTAGTACACGCCGCCCTATCGTTAGTGCACACTGGCACGGAGCGCGTGCACCGTCTACACGCCGCGCTAGCTAGCCAGGCGCCCAACGGTTAGTATCTTAGTATGCGCCGCCCTATAGTTAGTACACGCCACACGACGCGCCGCCCTGCGCGCCCAGCTGGCCGCCGCTACCGAGCGCGCGCATAGGCTGCACGCTGCGTTGGCCAGCCAGGCACCTAATGGTTAGTCTCTTAATATGTACCGCCCTATGGTTAGTACACGCCGCCCTACGATTAGTACAACGCCCTATGGTTAGTATACGCAGCCCTATGGCTACTACAGGCCGCTCTATAGTTAGTACAAGCCGCACGACGCGCCGCCGCGCGCCGCATTGCGCGCCCAGCTTGCTGCCGCTACCGAGCGCGCGCACCGGCCACATGCCGCCCTTGCTAGCCAGGCGCCTAATGGTTAGTACGCCGCCCTAGGGATCGTACAAGCCGCCCTATGGTCGGTTCGCGCCGCCCTATGGTTAGTACACGCCCTATGATTAAAACACGCCGCCCTATAGTACACGCCGCGCTCGCTAGCTAGGCGTCTAATGGTTAGTGAGCCGTCCATAATAATACACGCCGCCCATGTTAGCACACGCCTCGCTTGCTAGGCAGGCGCTTAATGGTTAGTACGCCGCCCTATGATTAGTACACGCCGCCCTGTGGTTAGTATGCCGCCCTATGGTTAGTGCTCGTGGCTCTATGGTTAGTACGCCGCCCTATAGTGCACGCCGCCCTATGGTTAGTACACGCCGCCCTATGGTCGGTACGCGCCGCCCTATGGTTAATGGCCGGCCTATAATACACACTGCACGACGCGCCGCCGCGCGCCGCCCTGCGCGCCCAGCTGGCAGCCGCTACCGAGCGCGCGCATCGGTTGCACGCTGCGTTGGCCAGCCAGGCACCTAACGGTTAGTACACGCTCTATGATTGGTATGCCGCCCTATGGTTAGTACGCCGCCCAATGGTTAGTATACGCTGTCCTATAGTATACGCCGCCCTACAGTACAAGCCGCACGACGCGCCGCCCTGCGCGCCTAGCTTGCAGCAGCTACCGAGCGCGCGCATAGGTTGCACGCTGCGTTGGCCAGCCAGGCGCCTAATGGTTAGTACACGCCCGCTTGCTAGGCAGCCGCCCAATGGTGAGTACGCTGCCCCATAGTGAGTACACGCCGCCCTATGGTTAGTAAACGCCACCCTTTAATATACACCGCCCTATGGTTAGTGCACGCCGCCCTATGGTTAATACACGCCACCCTATGGTTAGTACGCCGCCCTATGGCTAGTTAGACAACTTGCAAATACCCACTCGTTGGCTGGAGTCTGACAACAGACACCCTATCGGGTGCAGTCCTGTTGTCCCCCCTGGCTAGGGGAGACAACGAGACTAGATTTTTAATCAATGATTTAAGGACTGTTGTCCCCCCTGGCAAACATGATTTAAAAGCCATATATTATTTGTGTAACATAATTTTTGAAATACTGAAGTACTTGACTGAATGCCAAATTGCCAAACTCAATACCTAACCGTTTTTTAAATAATAATTACCATTTTGATAACGAAAAAAATAAGGTGTTGGTGCCGATACTGACACCTACAAACTTAAAATTTGGCAGGTAGGTTCCTTATAGAGTGTAGACATCTGCCAAGAACGGATTTTATTTAACTATTTATTTAAGGATATGAAATAATACGAAGGATGTAATAGAATTTTACGAAATTCCACACATAAGGGGGTAAAACGGATTCCACGCATACGAAGTCGCGGGCGGCGGCCGCTAGTTGAATCAATGCAGTTTTAGCGTCCTACCTACTAATATTATAAATGTCAAAGTTTGTGAGTATGGATGGATGTTTGATACTCTTTAACGTATTTAACTACTAAACGGATTTTTAGTAAACTTTACAGAAGATAATATTTTTTATACATGAGAATAGCATACCTTTAACTTAGCTTTTGCCCACGGCTTTGTCTGCGTAAAATTTTGTCTGTCACAGCAAAAATATATGAGCCCCTTCCTGTTTCAAAAACTGGCATAAAAACTATCCCACGTCCTTTCCCGGGACTCAACACTATCTCTTTACCAAATATCAAAATCGGTTCAATGGTTTAGGCGTGAATTCGTAACAGACAGACAGATAAAGGTTTTCGCATTTACCTACTTGATATTATTTAGTAGGGATAATAATTCATAAAGATTTGTTAAAAGCAAGTAAAGCAGATTTCGGATACCGGTACTGCCGGTACCAACAACTTATATTTTTTTCGTTACCAAAATATTAATTATTATTTGACATTCGTTTAGGTATTTAGTTTGGCAATAAGTATGACATTCAGTCAGGTACTCCATTTTCAGTTCATCTTAAAGTTATAAAAATATATGGCTTCTAAATACTCAATGTTTGCCAGGGGGGACAACAGTCCTCAAATCATTGATTGAAAATCCAGTCCTGTTGTCTCCCCTAGCCAGGGGGGACAACAGGATTTCGAAATCCTGTTGGCTCCCCCAGGGGGGCCAAGCAGGGGGGACAACAGGACTGCACCGACTATCGGAAGTAAATACACTAACTAAAAATAAAAATTCCTTGACCTATTTATTTTATCGTTTCAGATTACCAAATGACAGATGAGTACTTCATCAAACCGGAAGGGGAGCTGCCTATACAGGTGAAATATTTACACATTTTTTTTGTTATTAATACTTAATAATTATTAAATAACAGCAGGGCATATTTTAACGATGAATTATGTCGTTGTGGGAATCCTTGGGGAAGGTCGTTGTCTAGCAGTGGACGTCATTTGGTTGAAACGAACGAATGTTTTAATTTAGTATTTTTAAAATACGTTTGATTTATTTAAATAAATAATTTCGCAGGACCAACCAAGCAACGGAGGGTGATCGACTCGACGAGTGAACTCAAACCGACTACCGCTCGCGCGATGACCACGACTAACCACAGCATACGCGTCACTAACCTGGCAGGTCCAACGCGACTAAACCACGATAGAGCTAAAACCATCCAGTTTTATCAAAATCGATCAAGCATTTACGCAAAAATCATCAGTAACGATTAGCAAATCGACAACCATTATAGAAACTGTATATTTTGTAATAATTGTTTTTTTTTTTCGTTAGCTTTACCAACTTGTAAGTACGAATCTAATGTAGTATTAAAAATATAATGTTATTATTCCATACGTAAGTTAATGTGATCATTTGTAAATGGACAGGTTAAGAGAAAATGTATTTTTTCTTCGTAACGATATATGTATTTTATTTCTATATATTTTTTTTATTAATTTGAGTGTTAGAAACGTTGTAAATAACTAAAAAAGTAATAAAGTCACTCTTCCTGTTATGTATATTTTTTGTATAAAAATACAGCACTTCGAAAATGTATATTGATCTTTGAAAGTATTATGTATGACAATATTGTTGATTGCAAACAAAATGTTGAATCCGCGACGACATTTCTGTTTATGGATGAGATTGTCTTTCGTCAAGAGTGTTTGAACCTAATATACATGAATTAAAATATACTTCATCTTATACTTAGATATATAAATTAGAATGTCTTGCGAACGATGTGTAGTGCTTTTAATAGCATCTCATAACACTCTTGACTCGAATATACGAGATTAATATGATCTTCTATGTATAATATGTGCATCTGACGTGACTGGTCATTATATCGTTCACAATACGACAACGTAGTACCAAACGAGCTGTAGAGGCAAAGTAGGAGACAGCTAAATAAAAATAACTGAAAAAATACATAAATTAGTTGGAAACGTATAAAAAATAAATAATAAAAATATTTAGCAAAGTAGTGATCTAGTTTGTGATAACTTTTTGAGTACACTTATCGCTTTTTATATAAAAACCAGTAACATATTATTAATAATAATCACATGGTTAAAACTTGCATATATAACTTTTGTAGTTACTTTTCTCCAACACTAAACCTAACTTGTTTCTACAGTTCTGTATTATTAAGCTGTAAGTATATACGGATTAATATATAAATGTATGTTTAACACAAAGTGCCCTAAGACTATAGTACCTTGAACCATGCCATATTTAGTACAGATATAGCAGAGCGTGTTAACTGGACTGTATAAGCCGTTTAATATATAATTTATACAGGCATTCATATCTCGTATACGACTTTTAATGTATAACTAAAAATTTAATACATATAAACTTCACTTTTATGATACGTATATTAATGAAATCATATTCATAAAATCCATTCTCCTGAAATAATTCAAAAGTAAAAACTTGCTGGTTTAAATATCTTTTTAAATACATTAATCATGGTAAGTATTATCGTTTTGTAGTAGTTTTTATTTACGCCTGTATAATTATGTTGAGATATATTATATTTTGAACAGCTTGTATAATTTACCAAATGTAAAACATGTACCTACTGTAAGATATCGCCATTTTAGCAGCGCAACGTTTTATATAAATATTATACACGTTTAATATGTGCATTATACAAATATATATTTTATACATTAGGCTAGGTTTAGACCAAATGAATCCCATCCATTTTCGTCTGCGTATTTGTATATTTATATATATCGTGAGCTTTCATAGGTTCTTTTTATTGTAAAATCGCTTGTATCTACGACTGTATGGCAAATATCACATTTTAAACAACTACGCTGTTTATCAGTTGTTAGCTTTTGTAAATTGTAATATAAACCATGTGCCTTTTTATTTATTTAAAGTTGAATCATTATACTTTAATCGATTCGAAATTATTTAAGAATAAGTTTTGTTTTATGATTTTAAATGCGTGTAAATTACCCTTATAATAATTTGTTATAATATTTTCTTATTTTATATTTTAATAATGTGATAGTTGTCATTTCAGTTTATAGGATTTGATGGAATAACTATTGCCCCAACCATTTGGATATGTAACGCACCAATCGCTAACTTCGCTTCATACAATATATAAATTATATGACATGTATTGGAAGTCATCAAAACTTAGTGAATTGTATATTATACTTATATAACTAATATAAATTGTTTATTGTATCCAAGAATATGTGCAAAATGCACGTCTGTGTGGGGCGTTTAAACATCAAGGATCTTAAAAATAGGGTCAAATGCCCTGTTATAGTCCAAGTGACCCGACAATGGGTCTTCACAGTAGTTTGTTTTGCGCATACTTTTGCAATGACCCGATGTATTCCATCGCTTCCTGCTCGCTTTAATAACACTGCGTACGAGAATATGTAATAAATAGTTAGTGGTATAAAATAAATACCGTTACATTCAAATGTATACCGAGTTTTCTTTCACTTACCTTTACAAGAACCTGTCGAAATATAAGATTAATTTCAACCTTATGTCAACAGTATAGGGATCAATTCCGCAAAACGCAATCTTTATTTTTGTCGTCAAAAAATGCATAAAATCACAATTTTTTTTTGTAACTGCTACAGTAAATAGTGTTACTCAAAAGACAAACTACACAACTAAATCTACAATTTCCACAAGGAAAGGAATTTCTAAACTACAAGAATTAAGAGAAGTCAAGTATTTAATTAGAAAGTATAAAACATGCTTTAATATTTATCTTAGGTTAGTAACAGCTTTACCTGTGTTGTTGAATGCATTATTTTAAAACCCTTGGTAATAAGAAATCGGTTGATTTCTTCCCACGTTGGCCATAACTTGTGACCACTGCCCTTCCTATTAGCTCTTATTTTAGTATCCCGCTACCTCAAAGCATAATATCAGTCACTATTCAAGGAGGGGAATATCTAAACTAAAAGGACAGGTCAACTAGGCACTAAAATAACGAAACTCACCTCAACACATTATCTGTGTGCTTACCATGAGTTTACGTTAGGTGTGCTCGCTAGCAACTGCGTAAAAAAATGACCTTAAAATGTACGACATACTGTGCATCGTCCCTAGCGGCTACTTTCGAGAAATAAAATCTTCATAGTTTTTTTTGACGTACTCGCTAGCGAGCATACTTAACGTAAACTCATGGTGAGCACACTGGAAGCATTGAGTACCAGCGTTTCAAGGAAAAGTTTTTTGCAATAACTAATGTGGACAGCGTGGGAAGAAAATCAATTTGAGTTCGAAGCCGGCAAATGGCGTTAATTTTGATACTTAGGCAGCCTAATATAATTGAAATTCACCAAAAAAGCTCAGACGCTACAAAATACCTACTTGTTAAATAAATTAGTTACCAATATCAGGTTTTGCACTACTCAGGCCCAGTTTTTTGATTCATGATCAATGACATGTGGTTAAATAACAGAAAAAAATGTTTTTCGAACAATGGTTAGCTTGACTTTTAGTACATTTTTTAACTATTAATTTACATTTTGTTAATATTTAACCATTAGTAGCAAAATTTAACAATTTGTTATTTTAACTACGAATCAAAAACCGGGCCTAAGTACTTACGTGTTAAAAAAATCTACGTAGGCAAGCATCTGCGGTTGCAATTTGTGGACTTCCAACAATTTCATTGGACATGCATTACTTCTATAGTCTGGACCGTGTGCACGTAGAATTTTGTCTAATGACCCCTAGCTACCCATCCTTATCGCTCGCGCGTAATTATGTTGCTATCGCGCTCGCACACTCACTGCAGGTGCCAGTCGCACAGTCGCGACAGCGATATAATTACGCGCGAGCGATAAGGATGGGTAGCTAGGGGTCAGTGGACAAAATTCTACGTGCTCACGGACCGGGCTTTACCTATAATACACTATCTACAGCAAGCTGAGAGCCACTCCTAGCAACAGTACCAGCGACAGGGCGGCTCGCTCGGCGCCGGCGTCCATCACGCCGTGCACGATTTCGTTCATGAAGTTGATGACGTGCAGCTTCACCTCGCGGACTGACTCCGTCTCGCTGTTGTTTAGGGAACTGGAATGAAAATTACATTTAAGTACATAGCTGTCGAGAGCAGTTAGCTGGCATATAGCTGGCAAGAGCAGTTAACCGGCACATAGCTGGCGAGAGCAGTTAACCGGCACGTAGCTGTCGAGAGTAGTTAACCGGCACATAGCTGGCGAGAGCAGTTAGCCGGCACATAGCCGTAGAGAGCAGTTAACCGGCACATAGCTGGCGAGAGCAGTTAACCGGCACATAGCTGGCGAGAGCAGTTAGCCGGCACATAGCTGGCGAGAGCAGTTAACAAACTCCGAGCATAGCCCGCTCCATCGCCCTTTGAGTGACCTTGAGCCTTCTTATGAGGCCCATAGTAAGCGACCACGTCTCAGATCCGTATACCATCACTGGCAACACACACTGGTCAAAGACTTTTGACTTGAGACACTGCGGTATTTCGGACGTGAGTATATCGCGAAGCTTCCCGAACGCTGCCCATCCGAGTTGGATTCGACGATTGACCTCTTTCTCGAAGTTGGACCTACCTAACTGGACTGTTTGTCCCAGGTATACATAATAATTGTCAACAACTTCGAGTGTAGTCTCCAACCTTCAGAGGAGTGGGTGCAACACGGACACTAGATATGATTTTTGTCTTGTCCATGTACATTCTGAGGCCCATAGGTATTAATGAGTAGGTATATAAATAAGTTTAAACTTTAAACCACTCACTAAATAATCCTACAGTGCGATATTTCCGGCACAAAGTGTACAGGGGCGGTGGGACGGGCGTGCTCCGCTCCTGGGCCCATGGGATGCCACGGGTCGAACTGCCCCTGTACAGTGATGACGCGGTCGGGCAGCTGCGTCAGGCCCCCGAAGAATAGGTTGGTACGACTGATGCCGTACTGCGTGCGGTTGGCGTCAAAGCTGTGAAAATAAATTATTGTAAAAAAAAGTTCTAGGTAAGAGCTCTTTCTTTCTTTACGAGATCGAATCAGAAATGAGGAGATCCGTAAACGAACCAAAATCGCTGACATAGCCCGACGGATCAGCAAGCTGAAGTGGCAATGGGCAGGGCACATAGTACGCGGAACTGACGGCCGATGGCGCAGCAAGGTTCTGGAGTGGAGGCCGCGTACCGGAAAACGCAGCGTGTGACGTCCACCCACAAGGTGGACCGACGACATCATAAAGGTAGCAGGAAAGCGTTTGACGCAGGTCGCTACCAACCGGGCAGCATAAAATAACCTATGTTCAGCAGTGGACGTCCTATGACTGAGATGATGAAGATGATGATGAAGGGCTCTTTCCCAAGGAGTTATCCCGTTTTTTGCAGGATCTGTTTTTTTTAAGGACAATGATCCCGTTATAGTACGAGAGGGGACCGTAAGATACCCTACGTCACTCGATACTAAGATAAACTCCCTGGTAAAATTGTTTGTACTCTCGGCCAAATCGGAGTTTATTAATTAATTGTTCCATGCTTAGTACAAGTTTTCTGAACTTATTGAAGTGACGTAAGATTTCTTACGGTCCCCTATCGTACTAGTAGTACGTAAACGTGTTTTAAAAATTAACATTAACACAAACATCCCGTTTCGTCGTACAATTGTTTAAATTATTCTATTCGAAACAATAAGAAAAACATTATTATGCTGTTAGGTAACTAAATTTAATGATTAATTACTTAGTGACGTGCTCTATTTCGGTTGTAACATAATTATTTGTACCGAATTCCTCGAATTTCACTTACTTAATATTTAGCCTCACCCACTCTTGGCATAACTTTTAAAGATTCCTGGAAGATTTCTAAAAGGTATATAAGTAGATATAACCACAGTAATGGTTATCCATTCATAACGTAAAAATACCTAAAACAAATCATAATTATTCATCATCCTGCAATAACAAATGAATAATCACGTTACGTGCGTTTTTCAGTGGCATGATTTGTGGTAAAGAAATACTACAAAAGACAATTAATTGTTTATTTAATCAAAATAACGAAGTTGACGTACATCTTATAAATACCTACCTATTGTAGTAAGCTCACAAAGCGTTATGAAGGTATACCTACTCGTAACATTTAGTAACCTAAGTTGATTCTTTATTATTTATTAGTTTAGCTGTTTTAATAAAGAAATAGGTTCCTAGTATTTCATTTTTGGTTGTGGCGGGGTTAAACTTAAAGGCGGTAGCTAGCTTACTTACGATCGAAAATTATGTATACCTACCAAATTTTACATAGTTTTAGATGATGAGGTTTAGTTATTTTAGCACAGAATTTATCTCGTAAAAATTAAGTGGTTTTAATCTATACTATCTATACTAATATTATAAATGCGAAAGTAACTCTGTCTGTCTGTCTGTTTTGCTTTCACGCCTAAACCACTGAACCGATTTTGAAGTGGCATAGAGATAGTTTGAGTCCCGGGAAAGGACATAGGATAGTCTTTATCCCGGTTTTTGAAACAGGGACGCGCGTGATAAAGTTTTTCTGTAACAGACAAAATTCCACGCGGTCGAAGCCGCGGGTGGAAAGCTAGTTATAAAGCTAAAATCATTTCCTGTATTTTAAAGTCAATGATGAGTCTGTTTCTTCTGAATTATTTAATTTTATTTACTTACCGATGACACATTTCCCACGAATCCAATAAAACGTAATAGGTACTTACACGTAATTATTACAGAAACAGATGGTTAAAGACCTTTGAGACTTCAATTAAATTTACTTGGAATTGAGTTGAAGCTGATACATTATTACTTTGTTATGTTTAGGCCCTTGTAACATATTTAATTAAAACTAAACGTACCGATTAATAAAATTAAGATGTCGTTTACCTAGCTAAGTACCTACTTTGAGTTTATTATCTATCTTTTTGTTTCGGATCTCGTCTATCAGAAATGTTATTGGAGTTTTAAGGACTGAATGAAATTAAAGATATTTAGGCAGAACGAATGGTTTTATATCCTCATTTCCGGAAAGTTCAAAATAAGAATAGAATATGACAAACATTACTAGGGCGTAAAATAATTCGTCAAACTGAAAAATCGATTTTCAGCACGTCGATTTTCAGTTGAAAACTAGAGTAATTTTCAAGGAAACTTTATTTTCTGCGTTTCTTCCATTTGGTTATCATGTTTTAACATTAAAGTAGTACAGTTAAAAATCGTCATAAAATGTTATGCTTAAATTAATTAGCAATGTTTCGACACCCACGATATTAAGTAGCATTAATTGTACAATAAAGGCATACTTTCGTGCTAGTAAGCTTGTTCCTTACATCCTACCATCATCAACAGCCCTTTACAGTCCACTGCTAGACTATGAGCCTCCTCCACTATAGTGGAGGGTTTTGCCATAATCTCCACGCTTGGCAGGCGGGTTGGAGATCGCAGTTTAAAAGATTGATGTTTTTCAGAGAGCGCTGCTACCCGTTCTCTGTTTGATATGTAGTCCCTAAGTCGCCTCTTACATCTACATCCTATATCATGTAATATACTCACAAGGAGGAGAAGAAGTCGGTGCACATCTGTTGGAAGTACTCTACAGGCACGCCAGAACCGAAGGGCTGCGACTCGCCGGCGGTGGACTGGTACCAGCCGTACTCCACACAGGTCTGGTAGAGCCACGCCCGGCCTGCGGGCAGAATAGTATAAAATCTACATTATTATGATAAGCGAAAGTCTGTTGTTTCCTAGAGCCAGTGCCTGAGGTACGGGAGCGGCACGGGAGGGGTGACATTGACATAATATTATGACTTGACAGAGCATACAAATCTGAAGGAGATCTGAAGTCTCGCTGACGTTTGGCGTCACAACAACACCCTCCCGTGCCGTTCTTCGGGCACTGACTCAATGAGGGCTATCGTTTTAGCGCTCACCAGTTAGCGCCACTGTAGAGTAAGGTCCTGTCACTTGCTAGTAGCGAAGACAGTGGCGCCAACTGGTGAGCGCTAAGGTGGTAGGAGGACTATCGCATTTGCCCTCATCAAGATGGCGCCACTGTAGAGTAAGGTCCTGTCAATCGCCAGGGGTGCCAACTGTTAAGTATAAAAACGATAGCCCTCATTAATCTAGACCTTTATTATCTAAACCCTTTTCAGGGCACAAACACACGCCCCAAATATAGCTTGCCCTTCACCACTTCGGGACTAAGTACGTATCGGCTGGTACAGATCAGTGGCGGAAGAAACTTTGTTACCTTTTGGCACGGTAATCACTGAATCGGTTTAGATGGAAGCTATAGAGACAGTTTGAGACCCAAGGAAAACATAGGATAGTTTTTTTACCCCGTCTCTAAAGGAGAACACGCGCGCGATATGTACCTACTACGACGCCGTAGCACGTAGCTCTGGTACACAGACGGCGAAGTTTGCTATAAATAGCTGTTAATTCTAATTTATAGCACAATGTTAGAATGAAAAAAGATGCTTTAATACAGTGGTTCTTAACCTTTAAGTCATGAGGGACCATTTTACCAAATTTCTGACTTGTCAGGGACCACCTCATAATCGGTCAAAACCAGTTTGACTGCAAAAATCAGTGAAAAGTGTTTTTAACCAAGGTGTGCAAGTGCACTTCGTGGACCACTTGGAATGTCTCCAGGGACCACCAGTGGTCCGCGGACCACCGGTTAAGAACCACTGCTTTAATATAATATGAAAGAAGCTTATTATCACATTCCCACGGCATGATGATATAATAAGTACACGTTTTCTTTCATAAGTCGCCTTTAAAATGATTAAACATGAACTTATTTTCCATTCAGTAAATCTAAGGACTGGCAGAGTCAGTTTTACTCGAAATAAATTGTAAAGCGATGCCAATTAGCAGGCAATTGTGGCGATAATTAATGCAATGAATCACTTGTTGTCTTTTGTTCAAGCTTAGGTACTAACTAGGTACTCTGTTATATAACCAGGATTGTACCAATAATGAATTGTGCTCCAATTGCTTTTAACTAACTTTTAATTAATTATTTGCCAGGTTCTTACCTTTCTTGCATGTTTTTGTCTCCAACACACTCTTTGACATGTTTATGTTTTGGATCAGGTCGTGAGCAAACCCATTCAACATTATTTTAAATAATAAACATGTACCTCTGATGTGGTGAACCCATTCCCAACGCAAGCAATTAGTTGGAGGACTATATGGGAATATTTAAAATTATCATTCCATTTTAGAGTATTAACAACAATAATCAAATATGAATAATAATTATAAAAATTAATAGTATTTAGGAACAAAATTGAGGGCAGCACCTCCTTAAGGTAGACTGACGATCTGGTGAAGGTCGGAAACTCCAGAACCTTGTATTGTTGCCTTATCGGCCGTCAGTTCTGCGTACTATATGCCCTGCTCATTGCCATTTCAGCTTGCTAATCCGTTGGGCTATATCAACGACTTTAATTCGTTTAAGTTCTACATTAACTTAGGAAGGTAAAAATCGTTAATTATTTAAGCAAATCTTTTCACAAACGTCAACAACACCGTAACAAGTTGTTTCAGCAGATCAAGCTGACAAACGGCGGAGCAGCTGCCCCGAGCCTTAATGAATACAGCGGATTGTAGCTGGCGACGATCTACAAATCAAATGTCGCTCGCGGACGCCACGCTACACACTGCCGCGGCGGACGGCGAACTTGAAGTAGATAATTGAAGACATAACTGGAAACAAACATTTGTGAGTCTTAAGGCCTTATTTCTCACAACATGTCTTCTTATTTGTTTGTTGAGCAATTATTCATCCAGTACAAACAACAAAATCCTAACAAAACCGGGATAGTTTAGCAAGTGGCTTCCGGTTACCAAATATATCGTGTAATCTAAACCACAGCCGGTCGTGAATGTTAATAAAAGGCACAAGGTAATTGATATTGGTTGTCGCACAAACAAAATCGAACAAGATTCACTTTACCTATTTTATATTGTTACTAGAACCACAGCCGTTACTAAAATAAACGAAATGATTAGTCATACAGTGTGGTTGGCAACACCCTTCGCCATACCGCAATGAAACACTTAAATAAATATAAAATATCACAAATACCTACTCGCTACACTTCCAATCTATATGTCTCTTTTTACGTACAATGTTATCCAAGCTATCTATTAGCATGCATCTCCAATGCAGACAGCTTGGAACTTGGCGCTGCGCTGCCGTGCGCCAAGACAGATGTTCCGATGCATTCATTATGGTCTGGTTTATTAATATTCCGCGGATCAGATTGGAACTACCCGCAACGTCAACAAAGCGGAAGTAGGCTGCCAAATCTCTTATATTTACATTATGGGTATTGTACATTTTATACAAGGAAAATCTACTTGCTTGAGTACCGATGGAAAATTAAGCTGTTGACAATAAATGTTTTTACAATAATTAAATTTTTCTTTGTGGAAATCCGTGAGTCAATCTTTTGTTCAGCAGTGGCTGAAACCATGGCTTAAACGAACGATAATTAATGTAACAAAATGTAATTTAATTTAATAGACTATGCTGTAGTTCTACATTTAGGTGGAGATAATGAGGACGAAAGGTCACTAAATAAAGTTAGATACGACAATCCAAGGACATAGCAAAATGCCGCGTATTGGAGGTGGTCTAGTTTAGCATTAACTGCTGAATTTCTATAAGCTGATGATGACGAACAGTATTTGTCACCCTAAGAATTAAAGGCTACTTCATATTCAAAAGTACTTCACAAAAAATACATCCTAAAAATTGTTTTCGCCATAATCTCTCCTCATAAACTAACCAGCGTCTATGCTAATCGGCCCCACTCGTCGGCGGCATAAATTAACGCCAGAAATCATGCAAATGGGCGTCGATAAGTTTCCCGAATATTCCCGATAAATTCCCTACAAGCCTTCTAGACCGGGCGCTGGAGAAGCAATCCAACGCCGAATTTTAATTCGTAAATTATACGCAGACTGACATTATACAACAAAATTTGAAGTAGGAAATAATTTTTAAGAGCATAAAGAGATTGTTAGGATTGATAAAAGCAGATTATTAAGAAGACATTGTTTTTTATTACCATTTTGACTTTTCATAGAAACTTTCATCATATTATTATTACGTTACTTAGTTATTTTGGCACCCCTTGCCACTCCATTGAGAGTAAACGCACCAGCGGCAGAGCGCCAACTCTTTGATTCGATGTCATTTGCAAAGTTGGCAAAGTTTTAAAGGTACTTTTACAGTTTCACGACTTTTACAGTTAAAAGTCGTGATTTTCAGTAGTTTGGGAAAAAGCAGACAGTAAATCCACGATTTTATTCTGAATCCAGGGTACGGTAAAGTGTTGCAAAAATATTGTTTCCAAATATAAAAATAAGATTGATTCGTTCAGCAATAACAAATTAAAATACAGGGTGTTACTTTGCATTCTTGCCATATTTACAGAGGTAACTATATTACTGATACTGAACACAAATCCGTTAAAAAATAATGCCCGAAAATTTTGATTTTTAATTTTGAATATTTTATTTTATCGACAATCTGTTAAACACATCACTAATTATCGTAACGCATGCACATCACTTGTTAGCGATGGCGATGGAGACTTTTTTACTTTTTATTGTATTTTTAAATATCTATTGCAATCTATTGTATTTAAAATGTCTTTTTGACACTTGTAAAAAACTGAGAAATCCATCAATCACAAATCACATTAAAATAATACAAAAATGACTGAAGTGTATTCAAACAACGAATAATTTAATCAACATGGTGCTTGGAGTGTCTGCAAGACGTCTTAGACGAAATGCTTGATGACGTACCCTTAGCGTTACACCAAATGCTCTACTACCAGCAGGATGGTGCTCCCCCTCAATAAGGACGTCAAGTGCGCGAATAATACGTTTGGTGAACAGTGGATTGGACGAGGGGGTCCAGTAGCTTGGCCACCACGATCCTCGGACCTAACACCAATGGACTATTATTTTTGGAGTGACTTGAAACGACTTGGTATGCGCAGAAGAGATAAATAGTGTAAACGTGTTACGTAAAAGGATTGTTTCAGCGAAACTGTGAGACAAAACGTTTATGTGTTGCGAAAACTAAAGCGAAATACCTACGCTTCGCTGTGCTAGACTGTGCCATCATCAGAACGGAGGACTCTTTGAACACTTGCTTCTTTGTAAGTAGGAACTTATAAATAAATAATTAATTGTGAATAAGGTGATTTCATTTCATACTTAATTTATTAATTTGTAAAAATAGGGAACAATGTTATTATAAATTAATTAAAAGCCTAATAATTATTACGTATTTTTGACGGTCCTAAGCCCGTAAAGTAGAAAGAAAAATCTAAAATCAACTGAAGAGTATTATAAAATAATTACATATTATGACTGGATAAAAAGGCTGGTACCCAGAGCCATAAAACATCACAGATTAATAAGAACTAAGCCACGCCCACTAGGTTTATTCCACTTGCACCTGTAGAACGTGTGAGACAAAATTGGTTTATTCCAATTTGTACTGCAAAACCAAATTTACTAAAAACTCAGTGTACTTTCTTTATGGGAGTCTCTTGTTTATCTTAAATAATAGGTATTGTTCTCTACTTTTATCTCTGTGAATATGGCAAGAATGCAAAGTAACACGGTGTATAAATATTATGAAATTGGTAGAGCAGTGTTTCAGTTCTTTTGTCGCCCGGACTAAACAACATTTCGTCCCGAAAAACAACCCGCGATAAGAGTTTAATAATTAATAAATCACTCGCAGAAAAGAGCTAAGTGGCAAAGTGGACGGATTTCCATAGTATTACGCGACGCTATTAGCAGCTTTACATATTTCATATTCCGAGCAAACCGGACGGCTTAATGAATTCAGTACAAGAATACTGCTGGGTAAAGCTGAAGGAAATCTGTATTGAAGGCGAATCAATTCAAAAGTGAGTCTCGTTTGTAAACAATGGGAAGCTCTCGATTTGACTGAATTATCAAGTTAAAAACCTATCTACAGGTAATTAGTACCAAACCAAATTAGAAGGAAGTCCTTAATGTAAGTAAAACATGTAGTCAGGAGTACCTTATATCTACTATATAGGTAAAAATAAGTCGGGTTTTCCTTCCCAACGCTATAACTCCAGAACGCACGAACCGATTTCCACGGTTTTGCATTCGTTGGAAAGGTCTCGGGCTCCGTGAGGTTTATAGCAAAGAAAATTCAGGAAAATTTAACAAACGAAATTCCACGAGGGCGAAGCCGCGGGCGGAAAGCTAGTTTTGATATAAATTAGACTTCTTAATAAACATCCCAAATTTTTTTTAAGTCCCAATTCCTAACTCATGAAATATTTAATATTTATGTTTTCAACACACAAAGCTTCCCAATTTGTAAATGTAAACCTATAACCATAGGCTTCTACCTATAATCAAGAGCACTGCGTATTCACATACTTACGAGTTTAAAAGGCACAGATGAAGAAATATGAGACCTTCATTTTTCATCATCATCATTTCAGCCACAGGACGTCCACTGCTGAACATAGGCCTCCCCAAATGCTTTCCACTTTGATCGATTGGTAGCGACCTGCGTCCGGCGCTTCCCTGCTACCTTTACGATGTCGTCGGTCCACCTTGTACTATTCCACCACCACCTTCATTTTTGCCTCTGGTAAAATAGATAGGTCTCCTGTAGTGACCTGATGATGAAGGGTACGTACCAGTAGCGATCGGTGAGTCGAAACTGGTGTTGGAGTAGATCTGTATGAGCTCGGAGAATCTGGTCTCGATGCAGGATTCGCCCGGGAACTGCTGGAGAGTCCATTGTGCTAGGCGCTCCACGGGGTCCGCTGCAGAAGAGTAAAAACTTAGAAAAAGCTAAAATATGATGAACGTTCATATTGATATAATGTTAAATAAAATGCAATAAAAAACAGAAGTTTCAACAAAAAATAAAACTCTGCGGACTTATTCTCTTCATTCTACTGCTACTTAATTTTAGAATTTTTAGAACCACGTATTTAGAATCAGTTAAGAGCAAAGTATTTGACGATTTGAAAGTAATATTTAAATAGTCTATACAAATAAAGACACTTTGACTTTGAATTTGACTTTGTTAAAATGGATCGATAGGCAGACGTGGTTCCATAAAGGCTGAAGAAGATTTTCAAGAAAATACTGATTTTGGCGAAGTCACAAGCGAAAAAGATGGGAAAGCTTATAATTAAAAAAGAATTGTAATAAATAAAGTTTATGATTGTGAGTGAGAGAGCGTAGGAGAGAAAGTAAGGGATAGATTCACAATTAGCATACTCTGTCTCTCTCTCGCTCTCCTATGAATGATTACTACAAGTACAGGTACACTCACAGATGTCAGGGCTGGTGAGCTGCGTGCACGCCTCCTGTATGTCCCCGGGCGCGGCGTACTGCGCGAGCGCCGCGAACGCGTACACGAGCCCCAAAGTCAAAGTCAAAGTCAAAATTTTCTTTATTTGTTTAGACTAATAAATAGTTCTTACAAATCGTCATTTTGCTCTTAAGGAGCCTCTACATGTCTCATAATCTTTTTACCCTACCAGCGCTTCGAGACCAACATTTGGCAAGTGCTGAGAAGAAGCGCCGCAACAAACTCAGTCACCACTGTCTGCCGGTTAATATAAATAAATAGAAATAGCAGTAGTAGGTACATTCGATTCAGGAGCAGTTCACTGAATTTACCATGCAATCTTGTATAGTGTATCTTATAAGAATGGGTATACAAAATTGCGTGGTTTATTAAACAAGGTAGTGACGTGCTAATATCTAGACTTACAGATAACACACTTAAATACTAGTAGAAATGACTCGCATACATAAATTGGAATAACTTGGATTGACCAGTCCCCGAAAGCAGCGCCTGTTCACAGACATGACGAGTGAACCAGCCATCGCTTCACTCGACCATATTAGAGGGAATGTAACGACCCGCCTCACTACGCCACCACCCCAGAGACATTTTAGTGAGAATGACAATTCCAAGTTATCTTTTAAAAAAAAAACTAATAATAAAGCTAAGTAACAGTCCAGATTGAGAAGCATGACACTATAACATTTGAGAAATTATTATTAGTTTATACATTACTTTTCATTTTAATTCTTTTTAGTGCGAGCATGAGAGGACCATAATCCTACTCCCAGGATGACTTATCATTAAGAAAATCTCGAGTTGTATAATAGGCTTTTTTAAGCATGTGATCTTTAACTATACCTTTAAATTTATTGTACGGTAGCTCTTTATATTTATCAGGGACTTTGTTATAAAAATGGATACCTTGTCCCATAAAGGTGGCAAACACTTTATTAAGTCTAAAAGCGGGTATAGCCAATTTATTTTTATTTCTAGTATTGATTTGGTGAATATCACTTTTCTTTTTGAATTCATTAATATTTTGTTGAATAAATAGAATACAGTTTAAGATGTATTGTGAAGCGGCCGTGAGAATGCCAATTTCTTTAAACAATTCTCTAAGGGACGCTCTTGCTTTCATTTTATACAAGTATCTTATGGCACGTTTTTGCAAAATAAATATTGTTTCAAAATCTGCAGCTTTGCCCCATAGCATGATTCCATATGACATTAGGCTATGAAAGTAGCTAAAGTAGACTAAGCGAGCTGTTGAAACATCGGTTAATGACCGTATCCTTTTTATTGCAAAAGCCGCTGAGCTGAGCTTTCCCGCCAGAGTTTCTATATGGGGGCCCCACTGGAGTTTTGAATCCAGGGTAATTCCCAGAAATACAGTAGATTCTACCAGATCGATTGCATTATTATTAAGTTCTATTTGGGTACTAATTGTTTTTACGTTAGGCAAAGAGAATTTTATACATTTTGTTTTCTTTGCATTCAGTTGTAGATTATTTGTAGTGAACCATCTTAAAACTCTTGTTAGTGCATTATTTACATCGTCAAAGTTATTTTTACTTCTATCAATATTAAAAATCAAAGATGTGTCATCAGCAAATAACACGATTTCGCAAGAGTCTTTAACAAAATATGGTAGATCATTAATGTATATAAGAAACAAGAATGGACCCAGAATGGACCCCTGCGGAACTCCCATTTTCACAGGTGACCCAGAAGACAAAACACCATTTATGTCAACTTTTTGAACTCTAAAGTTTAAATAGGATTGTATTAAATCCAAAGCCGAGTCCTTTACCCCATAATAGTGCAGTTTGCGAATTAGCGTTTGATGTTCTACGCAGTCAAAAGCTTTTGAGAGATCACAGAATTTACCCCCGACCAGCTGAACGTGGCCAGGTCCAGCGCCGACGCCGTAAGCGGCGTGCAGGTGCTGCGAGGATAATAACGGTCTTTATAGATTAAGATCGTTCCTTTCACGAAGACGCGCCCCACCATTCTTCCGCTAATGTTTGAGTGTTATCGGTACACGCTAAATTATCCGTAAGTGCACACGAACAATACAATAATGACGCTCGGATTGCTGGGATCAAACTCTCTTCTTCTTGCCTCTCTCGACTAATATTGGTGGGGCGCGTCTTCGTGGATAGAACCATCTATAGATGGCTGCTATAAGCGTTAAACAAGGCTGTCCGGAGTCATGAGTAACCTTTCTCGTCTACAAAACTGCAATACTTGTATAGCTAGGGTTTACAGCTGTGCTGCGAATGGACCCAACAAGTGAAAGTTGAGTAGTACAATTTCCAGGACATCTACAGCGGTGATCTGCGCTACGAAGTCGTATCCCACACAGCTTGCTTTTTTGAGCATAGCTTCTCGAAACGGGGCTTAAGGTTTTATTACCACTCTCATAGCTTTCTACTTTTTTTTGATAGCCTCACAAGTCACAACGCATTTGGGATAAAACCGCGAGCAGGACGCCCCAGAGCATCAGGAAGCATAGTTTGGGAACCCCTACCCTAAGTAGTCCAAACAGCTGAAACTTACTTGAAGGTCTGCGAGATTTGCTTGGCTGCGCTAATCGAAAAATGGTCATACCATAACAATAACAGCATGCTCTGAATCTAAATATACACTCTAGTAAAGTGAAAATACAGCTGAAACTCACTTGAAAGCCTGCGAGACCTGAGCCCGGCCTGCCGTGGAGGTAAGGAGCTGCGCCACGGCGGCGGTAGCCTGCGCCACGCTGTTATAGCACGCGCTGCCGCCCTGCGACGCGATGGCTTGCCCCACCACCGTCAGGTATTCTGGGGGGTAAAAGAATTGTCAGACATCTGTTGCGATTCATGAAGTTTGACTAAACGCTAGTGGAACCGTACTGTCGAGGGACTTGCCATACCACGGTCAGATACCTGACTTCCCCACCACGGTCAGACTTCTGGGAGGTAAAAGAACGTTGTCAGACATTCTATTGACTTATGATACTTGACTGAAAGCTACTGCAGCCGTTCGTACCAGTGTCAGGTATTCTGAGGAGGTAAAAGATTGTCAGACATCTATGACAGAAGTTTGACACAAAATTGTACCACAGTGAAGTAGGTATAAAGGTATTGAAGAGTAAAAGACCGTTGTGAGACATTGATGGCGGTTCATGAGGTTTGACACAAAATTGTAGAGTTAAATATTCTGGGGAATAAAACTGTTTCTAGACATCTATGTCAGTCATTAACTTTGAAACAATTTAATGCAGCCCACAAGCTCATACTCGCACAATAAATTGAGACTTTTCACTATGTGTTTCCCTATTTGTTCAATTACAACCCAGATGCAGGTCTGAATTTTGAATGCACAAATATTCACTAAGATTTGCCCTGGTCAAGATTCAACACGTCGCAGCTAGGGTAAATACGCAAATCATCGGGCTTGACGTCCATAAAACTTCGCCATTTTCTTGTTTTTCCAACGACAAAATAAATTAAACTCGCACGTAAATTAAAACCTGCAGCTCTTGTTAATTGTTTAAAACGCACTTAAACACTTTTGTCAGCTCTTTTATCCGGAAAATGCCGTTTTCCCAGAATTTTCCCATTTAATGAAACTAGTAAATCTCGAGTGACGCGAGTGGCGACGAATCGCACAATTAACAAGGACGCATAGTTTAAGGGAATTAATTAATTTCACATTTGCCCAATTCGCGAAATTGCAGTTTAAATGTTTTACAAATAACATGCATGTAAATTATTAATTTGTAATTAAACGCTGCTTGCCTGGTATTGTTTGGATTACAGTGGTAACTGGGGTTGCGGGGTATGAATCCCTTTGGGGTTATAATAGTGTGATGAGCAAGAGTAATTAATACTCGTAGTTATAATTGAGTGATTCAGACATATGTTAGTCAACATTAATTTATCTATCCACAAATTGTCTTTCTAGAGAAAGGTGCTTTGATTTGATTTTGATTTAAAAAAAAACACAAAGACCATAGAAACAAGATAACAAGAAAAATCCATATTATGACACCATGTTGAGTTATATCACTTGACCGTTCTTATTCTTTCCTATCAGGGAAATTGTATAATCCCATCCTTGCAAAACCTTAAAAAATAAAAGCACTAACTAGATCTATTCTCATTACTCACCGGGGAAAACGTGGATGTTACAATATCATGACCAGGGAAGTCAAGTGTCCATTATTTTAAACTTCTTCCCAGGACGTTTCAGGCCTTTAATCACGTGTCCAGGTCTAACCAGGGTAATCGTGGGCCTTAAATCACCTGTCCAATGTTAACCAGGTAACCAAGCGCGTGTTTTTACTTACCAGGGAAGTCGTGCTGCGCATGCAGCGGGCCGCTGTCGGAGAAGGCGCCGTCGACCAGGTGTGGATACTGAACCCTCATCCAGGTGGCCATGCTGCCCGCGTACGAGCAGCCCACCAGGAGGACCTTGGCGTTTCTGGAATAGGGTTTAGATTTGAATGATTTGTGATATGGCGCCATGGACCAGATGCGGGCACTGGACGCACATCCAGGTGGAGGACCTTGGCGTTTCTGGAATAGGGTTTAGATTTGAATGGTTTGTGATACGGCGCCGTGGACCAGATGCAGGCACTGATCGCGTATCAAGGTGGAGGACCTTGGCGTTTCTGGAATAGGGTTTAGATTTGAACAATTTGTGATATGGCGCCGTGGACCAGATGCGGGCACTGCTCGCGTATCCAGGTGGAGGACCTTGGCGTTTCTGAAATAGGGTTTAGATTTGAACAATTTGTGATATGGCGCCGTGGACCAGATGCGGGCACTGCTCGCGTATCCAGGTGGAGGACCTTGGCGTTTCTGAAATAGGGTTTAGATTTGAACAACTAGCGATTTTCTTTCCTCCTTTCTCTCTTGCTCAGGGTTTGGATTTGAACAATTTGTTATATTACAAGTAGGTATCTATGTCACACTTGCGTTTTCCTTGCCTTGTGAAATTCTGATTTATAGAGGCTTTTTTAATAGTTCTTTTACATTTTATTGTGTTGATAAGTCTGTTACACTTCTAGGGTTGTTTTGGTGGACTTACGTATTGGGTCCATTTTTAGCTTCTAAAGCTGTTTACTTGCCAAATAAAAAAAATACCTCCTAAAACTTACTTATTTTTGCATAGGCTTTTAAAAAACACTTTTACACGTCCCAGTATTAACCCCACCACTGCTATGCTGCTACATATAAGGGAGAGTCCGCTAATTTGGACCAGTTTTTTTCAATCCCATATTACACATAGTTTTCTTTTGTTTTTGCTAATGTCCATGGTATATAATAAAAGATACATTATTCAACTTACTATTTCATAAGTATTAATAAACATGATTGTTGTATATTTAGCACAAATCAACAAAGTACGAGTTCAGAGCTTCGGTCCAATTTAGCCAACCGGTTCGATAATTTGTACCACAGGGTTACTAAATTGGATTTCAATAAATTTCAAGCCTATAAAAAAACTATGGCAAAATATTATACCATACATTCTTAACAAATTAGGAAACGAAAAGGAATAGTAGTTAATAACATAGACAATCGATATTGTTTTACACGTTATCACGATTTTGAGTACAAGTTTTGTAATTCCAATTATCGTAACGCACACTTGTATCTAATCTACTTTGGCAGTCTTTTGCTTTCATTTATTGTTAGTCAAACATAACTACGCTATTATAACTTCAAAATATGATTTACTAAAAAAAAATTCAAAATCCTTTGGTAAAGTTCCATACAACTTGATGAGGTACAATTTAGCCGACTAGGTGATAGTGCTTTTAAAAAATCGGTAAAAAATATAGCTTATAAATACCGAAAAATGTTTCAAATAATTGTGATCCACACTAATTTACGCTTCTAAATAATATATTAGAAACACCCTGTGATTAAATTTAACAAAATTACAAACTAAACATGTATTGTCAAAAGTTACTTGAAAACAATGAAAAAATACTTTTCAAAATAAAACACACGTGTTTGTTGTCACGGCAAAAACCACATGGCCGATATTAATTGATTTTAGTTGTGTATCGCTGAGTGTTGCAATTACAGACATTCAATAAATACTTTACGAAATATGAGGGTGGTACAATTTACCCGGCGGTACAATATACCGAACTCTCCCCTATGTTTGTAATGTGCAATAAAGAGTTTGAATTAGAATTTAATTGAAAATGGTCACAAAGCATGATCCTGTCTTGAAGTACGTAAGCTATTATATTCCGTTTTAAACTGAGTACAGCTGCTTTAACGTAACTCAATGAGATTACAAGTGTAACAATTTGAGCGAATCCTGAGCCTAAATGTTCTAAGAAAAACATGACCAAATAAACTTCAACGAACGGGCATGTGTGTAATTGATGTGACGGAAGGAGCCAATGATGGTAATAAGGCAAGGTGCCCTGACTCAGGGGCCAATCAACTTGACTTTGTTAACACCGCGGTTAAATAGTGCAGTTGAAGTGATTGGTACAGCTTTTGATTCTTTTTCCGTTCTGGGGATTGTCACAGCTGAGGCAACAATCTTGGTGTCAGACTTATGGAGTCCAAAGACGTCCAAGGTGGTCCCAAGTTCCTTTATTTATTTTAACCATCGTTCGTTGTTGACGTCCACTGCTGGACAAAGGCCTCTCACAACGACCGGTCATGCGTCGCCTGTATCCAGGCACATCCCGCGAATCTCACGAGATCGTCGGTCCACCTAGTCCCCCACAACACTACGTCTTAGAAATATTGGCTGATAATATTTATTTAGGTTTGTTCAAACACTTTTTGTTATTAACAAAATAAAATCAGTGTCTGACTGTAGATGCTATCTCAGTATCCTTATTATCATTGATTAATTTTTAACAATCAACAACAACACAAGATATGTTCACTCAAATTATTAGATCCTTGGATAAATTGTTGTCAACAGTTTTTGATAAAAAAGTTGAATAACATGGACATCTATTCAACCTTTTTATCAAAAAGTATTGCCAATTTCTATAGGCGTGGACTATCTTAACACTTAGTACAGACTCACAGACTATTGTGAGTGACTGACTGACTACACAACTATGGTGACTGAGTTTGTTCCGGCGTTTCTTCTCAGCACTTGCCATTATGTTTGTCTCGAAGCGCTGGTAGGGCCCAAAAGATAAGGAGACATGTAAAGTGCCCCATAAGGGCTACCTTTTCTTTTTTTATTATTTACATTTTGACGTTCATAAGTGCCACTTGTGGTCTAAACTGAATAAATGATTTTGATTTTTGATTTTTTTGATTTTGATTACAAAACACGTACCTATAGCGGCCGTCTTCGAAGTCGTTGCTCTTTACGTAGGTGATGAACTGGGCCAGGTCAGCCAGGGCCTGGTCTACCGTCAGGAACCGCAGCTCCGAAACTGAAGTACCACTGGAACAAATTTACATCATCAGCATCTAAAAGTCCACTGTTGGATCCCACTGTTACAACTAGTCCACTCATTAAAACACATACTTTAGCAAGTAGACTTTTAAAGCACGTTCCAGTATTAACCCTACCACTGCTTCGGGACAATAAAGGGGCCAGTGCTGAGAAGAAGCAGCGCAAGAAACTCAGGCACTACTTGTTCTTACACTTTTGATTCTTACAAAAGACACTCTAAACAGCTTATAAAAATTTTCTAGATTATTTCTCTATGTCATCAATATTCATCATCGTCAACTTATTTAATTTTAGTCTCTACTGTAGTGGGCACACTTCACCTCATCAACAAACATAGACAAAAAATATTGAAAAAAAAAAAGGATTGACTCGTGAAGGAATCGAACCTCCGCCTCCGATGAAAATATTTGGATACTTAAGAGAGGAAATCGGCGCTCTACCACTGAGCTAACGAGCCGTGGGTGATGCAGTCGTATTTTGGAACTACATATATGCCAGTTCTGAGTTGCAAATTATTGTGTAATATTGTCTTGAGCTTTATATTTTAATTATAGCTTCCCAATATACCCTTTTTACACCCCCTTCAACATTTTTTTTGCAACCTAAGGTAGCTTAAAGTTATTCTGTAAGGTGTAATCTATTTCTATAATAAAGTTTAAACAAATTGGTTTACAGGTGAAGCGTGAAATCGTAGCAAACCAACAGAGTTAATAAAACGTATGAAAAATGTAAAGTCAATCGAACTCTGAATATGTGGAAATACCTATTTTTATAAAAATACACTACCTTTAAAAAGAATAAGTATGTACAAATAAGGTTTTCTAGTAGTGATTATTTTCACACCAAAACTTTCAGGCAAAAATTAAAAAAAGTTGTCTCGTGAAGGAATCGAACCTTCGCCTCCGATGGAAGTTTATCGTATTAAATTGTAAGGGAATCGGCGCTCTACCACTGAGCTAACGAGCCGTGGTCGATGCAGTCGTATTTTGGAACTATATGCCAGATCTGAGTTGCTAATTATTGCGCAATATTTATCTTTAGAAAGGATAGCTTCCCAATATATAATCGGTGAAGGGGTCGGAGTGGCCGACTCGAGATCCCAGGAACGCGGGTTCGAATCCCACCGCCGCTCGACTATTGTGGTGAGCCCACTCGTAACACAAGCTTATTTAGCTTAACACGAGGGGCTAATGGGACTAAATTAATTAATTTTAATAATTAAATTGCTAACAATCTTTAAAAAAAAATTTTTTTTTCTTTTTACACCCTGTCAAGATATTTTTGCAAACCAACGTAGCCTATGTCCTTTTCTAAAGTATAATCTATCTGTATATCAAAATTAACCAAAGTTGGTTCTGTGGTTAAACCATGAAATAGTAACGCACACAGTTAATAGAGTCAGTAAAAGTACGAAAAACTTATTTTTAATCGAACTCCACGACTAAATTTTATTAATTTTCACCAAGTGAAAATGTTTTCATAAAAACGGTACCTATCTTGAACTGTTTACTTACTTTATGTGTAACATACATTTTCAGACTGAAAATCTTAAAATCCTGTGTGGTGTTCGATTTCAGAATTTTTCACATTTTATTTATTTTTATCTCAGTAGCAACTCAGTGGCAATGTCTAGCGTTGTTTTTTTTTCTAATAAAAACGTAAAATAAAAAAGTTGACTCGTGAAGGAATCGAACCTTCGCCTCCGATGGAAGTTTATTGATTGCAAGGAAATCGGCGCTCTACCACTGAGCTAACGAGCCGTGGGTGCAGATGCAGTTGTAATTTTCAACTATATGCCAGATTTGAGTTGCAAATTATTGTGCAATATTGATCTTCAGAAAGGACAGCTCCGCAATATTCCTTATTTTACACCCCTTCAAGATATTTTTGCAATCCAAAGTGGCCTATGTCCTTTTCAAATGTCCCATCTATTTGCATACCAAAATTTACTTATGTTGGTTCAGCGGTTTAAGCGTGAAATAGTAACGAACAGACAGTAGAGTTATTAAAATGTATGTAAAATTTTTATACAGCCAAACTCCATCGAACTCCAAATCAAACTAGATTGCTACCAGCTACCAGATTTCAGCTGAAAAGCTACTGAAAATATTATTTTCCTTTCGTTGCTTTCCTAAACCGTTTATTTTATATGTACCTACATTAAATCTTATAATCCACTGTGATCTTTAGCTTAAAAAAAAACTATTTTATTTTGTTTTTGTATGTTGTCTCAGTATCAACCCAGTTACAATGTCCAGAGTTGTTCTTAAAATAAAAACCACGAAATAAAAAAGTTGACTCGTGAAGGAATCGAACCTTCGCCTCCGATGGAAGTTTATCTGTATTAAATTGCAAGGGAATCGGCGCTCTACCACTGAGCTAACGAGCCTTGTATGTTGCAGTTGTAATTCCCTACTGTATGCTAAATATTGCGCAATGTTTATTTACATTTGGAGTACATAATTCAAATTCATTATAGCTCCATGTAAAGTACAAACTTGTGCGTCCTTGTCAAGGAAAATACCTCATAATATTATTATGGCACGCTTATTTCTTGACTTAAAATACTTTATTTTATTACCAAAAGCTTTACAAATAGTTTTCATATTGTTCATTTTAGATATCACCAAACTAACACTGGCACACCATTTATTGGCTGATGCTGAGAGGAAGAAAGAGAAGCCATTAAGTGGCTTGCTTAATTTGGGACGTGTATAAATATGTGCCCTAAAAAGGATCTAACAAAGAATTTGAATTCGAAAATCCTTTGAATATTAGAGGAAACAATTTTTTCAAGATGTTAGGAACAAGATAAGTAACTTATTATCCACCTTATAGTATCTTCAGGCCACTGAAAAGTTATAGAAAAGTTAAAGCAAAGTTCCTTCTGCCACAACTTCTGCTTAGCCCAAATGTTGATTAAAAAAAAATCCTTATGACATTAAGCACATCTTATCTTCTTATGTGCTCATTAATGTGGCAAAGACAAAATAAATAAATATACGAAGTCGGTTTTAATTAATAAAATTAAAAAAAATGACAAAAAGTTTGACTCGTGAAGGAATCGAACCTTCGCCTCCGATGGAAGTTTATATTTAGTCGGAAAATCGGCGCTCTACCACTGAGCTAACGAGCCTTGTACGATGCAGTTGTAATTCCCTGCTGTATGCCAGATAACAAATGTAAAATATTGCGCAATATTTACTGGAGGAGTTCGATCGCCTCTGTGGTCTAGTGGTGAGACCACCCGCTTCAGACCCAAAGGTCCCGGGTTCGATTCCTAGTGGAGGCAGATTTTTCTGAACGGTTTGGTTGATGATAGAGCTTAGCTAAGTGAAATGCAGTGTATTTTTCGGCTGTATATCGAGATCCGAGTTACTTATAGATAGATTGTATTGTGGTATGGCACAATAATAATCTGTATTATTTTAAGGTGACACTCGACTATTGTGGTGAACCCACTTGTAACACAAGGATATTTACAAGGGGTTATTCCCACCTCTGCAACTCCAGTGTAGCTAGGATCTTCAGCTTAACCGTCAATAAAAACCCAACCAGTGTAGGTCAAGTTTGATTAAACGGGATTGTATTTACAAATTGCTAATATTCTTAAAAAAAAAAACAATGGAAAGATGCCATTTTCCACTAACTACCTAATGATTTCAATTTCACCCTCTATTACCAATACTAGCTTTTGCCCGCAGCTTCATTCGCATTTTAATTCTGTTCGTTGCAGAAAGACCGACATACTTGGCACGTATTTTGGAAATTTAACTCGATAAACCTGATGACGAAAGCATATATTATTTTTATCAAAATCCGTTCAGTAGTTTTTGCGTGAAAGAGTAACAAACATAAATCCATCCTCACATTTTATAATATTGGTGGAAAGTAGGATAGGATAGTTACACGTCACCGCAGGAGTGTGTTAGTATCACAATGCTTATCAACTGGGTAAACCCCTTCTGTTTGGATTTATTTAACACGTTAACTCTGACCTCGTGACCTAATCGCTATTATTTTACATAATATAATATCAGTTTTAGATAAACTTCGCTTGATCATTGGCTAGAATAAACTGTATTAATTGACTATCAGAAACCACCATGTCTAAAAACATAACCTTCCTTCTGGCGCAGTCGGGTAAAAAGAAGAACCTATCGTGATTTTTTCCCGCATTGGTCACGTTGCCAAAATACGGGTAAAATGTGACTAAGAGACAAATATGTAAATATCAGGCTTCCCCAACCCGTCTGGCCAGGGTACGGGGTTGTAGGTCACCCTGGTCAGAAGGGCCCAACCCTTCTAGGCCTAACATAATTGTTTATTTTATAAATATACATTCTGACGATTCATAATACTTATGGTATTTCCTCAAATATTAGATAGATTAATGTGATATAGGTAAATATTGCGCAATATTTTGTATACAGTAGGGAATTACAACTGCATCGTACAAGGCTCGTTAGCTCAGTGGTAGAGCGCCGATTTCCTGACTAAATATAAACTTCCATCGGAGGCGAAGGTTCGATTCCTTCACGAGTCAAACTTTTTATTTACATTTTTTACGAATATTTTTTATTGTACTTAACGAAGTTCCTACTGAAACAGGACGTCAAATACAAAAAATCTCTCACAATTAACGTCATTACATCTCCAAAATCCTTGTTTCGGAGGTAGTTTTTGGACTCAGCTATTATTAAATTCAGTTTACGAAATTTCTTTCCGATACACTTATAAAAGTCAAAATGTTTCGCTTATTATATGAAACTATTAGTAGTAGGTATTAGATAAAATAATTACGTGTACTTTTTAGATCATTAAACTACAAGATGTTCCGCGGGAGACCCTTGAGAGACCCTAAGTCCAGTCAAATTAGCACAAAAGCTTTGGTAATAAACTAATGAACGTGAGCAAAGCCGAAGGCAGAAGCTTGTACTTCTGCAAAAGTAAATATTGTGTAATATTTTGCATGTCATAATTATCTG